GAACAGAAAAGGAGTAATTTTTTGTGGTCTTATTTTTTATTGAATAAGAGGGAATTGCTCAAAAACTGATCAAGATAATAAAATTCTAAGTACACCATCGTAATGTAAACAAAATTATTTTGAGAAAACAGTTATTAAATTTCAATGATAAAAGAGAATTTCAGTCAGGTCTTATTCAGCCGCTGTATAGAGATATGCTGCTCGCGTACGGGTACTGTGATTGCAGCAGTACAGCGGCCATATTAGACCTCCTGAAAGTCTCTTTTATCATTGAAATTTAATAACTATTTTTTCAAAAAATTTTGTTTACTTTAAGATGGAGTACTTAGAATTTTATTATCTTGAATAGCTTTTGAGCAATTCCTTCTAATTCAATAAAAAATGAGACCACACAAAATTTGTCATAACTTCTTTTCCGTTTGGAATCGGCCAATGCATCAAACGAACTTTTTTGTTTTTTTAGCAAACAAAAACTTGATGAATAGAAGTGAGTTGACCTGGAGCTGATAATAATATAAGCTGAATTGCTACGTTAAGATGAAATACCTACATAGAGTATTTCATTTTTGTTATATTTTATTATACCACTATATAATATGAGAGGAATTAGATATCCACGTGTTAAATGAATCTTACATATTTTTAAAACAACCAGAGGTAGTTGGACATGTTTTACAAAATGAGTTAGGACTGGAATCCACAGAAGGTTGGAATACCATCATGCACGAGACCATAAAAAAAAAAAAAGTAAAGCTATTGTGTCTGAAAATATACTATTAAATTTGTACATTTAATTGTTTCTGAATCATTTCCATTGGTTCCAAGCCCCTCCTTAGATCCTATACGGACTTTCCCATACTAAACCTTGGTGACCAGCCAATCTCCTTCTACTCCTCTGTAAAAAATGTAGGACTATTTATTGATCAAACCCTCTCCTGGAGTCACCATATTTCTCACATCTCCCGACGGACAGTTTCTACCCTCAAACTATTCCATTGCTTCCGCCATCTCCTACCTCAACATACGCGCAGACTCCTCGTTTCCTCTCTCATCTTCCCCCACTTTGACTACTGCTGTGTGGTGTATGATGGACTCTCGGTGGAGCTCCGCGACAGACTGAAAAGAATAATGAACAGTTGCGTGAGATTTGTAATTGGTGCCCCGAGATACTACCATGTCTCTCACCATTACACTGAGTTAGAGCGGCTCTTTCCCTCCATTCGAAGACAATATTTCCTAGGTACATTCCTCTATCATATCATCAACAATCATGGTCCTTCCTACGCCTACAACCTTCTCCAATTCAAGTCCTCAGTCCACTCCCTCTCCACAAGATCTCGACCTTCTGACCTTTACATTCCTTCTCACAGATCTGCCTCGTTCCAAAACTCCTTTATTGCACGTTCTGTTAGTTTCTGGAATTCCCTTCCTATCAAAATTCGACATTCTTCATCCTTATCTACATTCAAAACCCTCCTATTCCAATTCCTGTCTCAAAAACAGTCAGGCACCAGCTAATCTTTTATGTAAAATTACACATTATCTATAAGACCATATTCACATATAGCTCATGACCTGAATACTTATTATAGATTCGACTTTCTTTTTTTTTTTTTTTTTTTTTTTCAACAGAAACAGATTTTACTGTTAAGAAGAATATACGTTTATTTTTTCTGTATTTTGTATTTTTTCTAAAAGGGTTTATTTATATTTTAACATTGTACATAGTTTTAAGTATCTTAGTATGGTTTCAAGAGTTTTTTATATAGATTTTTTTATTTTATTTTGTGTATAGTATGTATAACCAATATTTTTTCTTTTCTTTTCTTTAATGACCTATCATTATCTTAATTTGTTATGTTTGTTTTTATCTGGCCAGATGTAAAATTTTAATTTCTGTACTTTTTTGTTATTCTGAAGGGACTTCGTCCCAGAATAAAATTATTTTTCTATTTCTATTTCCATTTGTTTAGCTAATTTATACTATAATATAAAGCTGTAGAGTTTGTTGGTTTGAAACCACTGATCTCAGGAACTAATGTGGTGTTTTGGAAATTTCTTTTGTGTTAGATAGACTGTTTACTGTTATAGACTTTAGGCTTTATAAAATCAAGCTGAGAGATTTATTAACAGAATAATAATCATATATCATCGAAAAAATGTTCCTCTTTCCAGTAGTATATTCAGGATTTATTCATTTTTTTTTAGATATAATTAATGAGCGAGAAAAAGACAGAAACTACATAAAGATAAGTTTAAGTTGTCCTTAAATACCTGTTTAAAAAAAAGCTTCTCCTCCCACACTAGCGAATCCAGGATTTAATTTTGTGGGCTTCAGCCCAAAATCTTTTTTTTTTCCATATATGTAACAATAATTACATTTAGAAAAAAAAAAAAAAGAAAGAAACTAACAACCTATATGAAATGGTGTTTAAGAGATTCTTGAAGTCCTATTAAATGTAATTATTCTTCTTCTTCTGCGTTCTTCCTTATATGGCTAGGTCAGGAACTAAAATGAAGAATTCGATAGTCCCCCTCAGGTTCCCAGGCTTCCATATAGTTTCCTTTCCAATTCAGTTGGAGAGGGCCAGATCACCTTCCTTTGCTGGGAGTAGGTCATGCACGTTTGTAGGATATGTTCCACATTGTGTACACCCTCACCGCACTCGCAGAGGGGACTAGAGCCAACTTTGAACATACTGAATAGGTGAGCTTTGAGTCTGAGCATGTTGTGTCCAGTTCGTAAACGAAAGATCAAGACCTGCTCTCGTAGAGTTAGTCCATAGATCGCAACTCTGAGGTGTGAAGTCGGTGACTTCTGAGCCAACATTGGTTAATAATCGCTTAATTGATTGTAATGTAATTCATATTAACAATAATACTTTAAGAGATACTTTTTAAATATTTTTTTCATAAACAAAGGTTATATTTTACCATTTTGGATGGGGATTCACCCCGAAAGCCTCCCTCCTCCACCATGTAGATTCGTCTGTGCCCTTCCCCAAACATTTGTATTTATTTCCTCGTCAATGTTTTAAAATAGAGACTCGATATCTCAGACCAGAGACACACTGACAGTCTCAGCACCATCAACTAGCACAGATATTAAGCTTCTTTAACTTACAGTAGCTTAACATTTGCGCTAGTTGACAGTGTTGAGGTTGTCGTGTCCCTCCCCTAATAATAAAGTGACCTAATTCCCAATTTAAATAATGGTTTTAAAATATAATACTCAAAGATTGATTGAAGAAATTTTGTTTATAAATATATATATAAAAACACTGAAGGAAGTTAGTCGACTGCTCTATAAATCATAGGTGATGAATATTCAGGACACAGTCCTTTTTTAAAAAAAAATTTAATTTTTCTAAAAAAAGAATGCGTCCTGAATATTTATCACCCATTATATAAAAACACCTGTATCACAACCCACATTTAGGGCCTTGGGTTTAGTACTATTTAGGGAAAGCACTGTTTCTTGGTCTACGGTTGTGCAAGGAGGTGATTTGACCGATATCACGCTCAACCGCCAGATTTTTCCCATTAATCAACCATTATAATTTAGGGTACCCACTTTATAGAGGCTGGGTGTGTACCAGAGGAGGGTTTACCTTCCCAGGGTCGCCCCACTGCCAATGAAACAGAATTAATAATGTTTCTACCATGTACCGGGATTCAAACCTGAGACCTTTAGCATTGGAAGCTCAGTACCCTACCACTGAGCTACCCCACTCCTTTCTCTCTTTCTCTCTCTCTCTCTCTCTCTATATATATATATATATATATATACGTAATTCATGATAACTGTTTTCTAAAAAAATATATTTTCTAAATCATTAATATTATTTAATAAAGAATTGATAAATCATATTACTTAATATGAGTAGGAAAATGTGGAAACCAATTAATTTGAATAGTGGACAGTTTAAAATATCTCAAAGGAAACATAAAACATTTTGAAATTTGCTCTCAGATTTTTTGCTAAAGCAGTTGGGTCCTCATACAGCTTTCCATCTCAACACCTAAAACAAATACCATATCATTAGCAAATACAAAACTTCTAAGAGTAAATTTGAAGCTTGAAAAATAAGTTACAAGGCATTCTTTATATATCAAAACTTGTTTGTAAATCTAAATAGGCAATAAATTAAAGAATATCACCTACCCACTTTTCAACCGAAAAAAATGGCGGAAACATTGTACTAGATGAGTGAGAACAGGATGCCAGGGAACCAACATTCTATTTGGAAGTTATTAAATATTTTTGTTCTAAAAGTAATGGATTAGTTGAATACAAAAATTATTTTATTTTAAAATAAAATAATAAAATGTATTCATATTTTTTAATAAATAAATTGCTAATATCATTAAATTGAGATATACATATTATAAAAGTGGATTTAGACATTTCACAAACTAGGGAAAAACAAATATCTAAATGATTGTTTCCCTGTGAAAATGCTGTTTCTTGTTTTTGATATATTTTATCTGCTGACCATAACAAGAGAAATAAAAAATAAAAATAGAATTCAAATATTACATAATATAAAACAGTTTGAGAAATAAATTTATTTTTGGAGGGGGAGTTGACATCATTGCTCGGAGTCGCAAAATATCTAAGGCTGGCAGTGCAAAAAAATCGTGATATTTTTCCATAATACATGGGTACATTCCACAATTTTGGGGAGGAGGGCGCTTCAGCCTGAAAGCTCATGTAAATAAGTGGTACATATTTACCTATCAGGAATAAATATAAGTATAATAAATTTTGGTTACTAGTTCGGTTTCGCTACTCTCCGTACCCTTAATGTTTTTCTGTATATTTTTTAATGATTTATTTTGTAAATTGTCTGTAATAATCTGAAATAATGTATTTTGAGTTGTCAAAATATCAACACTGTAAAAAAGGACGCGGTTAAGATAGGTTCATTTCAGCCAGGTTCTCGTCAACCTTCTGATTGGTTATCTCATCAATATATTTCTCTATCTTTGTATAATACGTAAACTGAGCGATTAAGAATGTCGGCTTCTGTAATAACCAACCCATCGACTATTTTACCACTAGGTAAGTTGTTGTGGAGTAACGTTGTTTAAGCAGGGGTTCCTTCAATATAATAATCAATTTGATTTTTATCACTTTCAATTTCAGAACTTGTAGATAAGTGTATTGGTTCAAGAATACACATAATTATGAAAAATGACAAAGAAATCGTTGGGACTTTATTAGGTTTTGATGACTTTGTTAATATGCTTTTGGAGGATGTAACTGAATATGAAACTACACCTGAAGGAAAGAGAATAACTAAATTGGACCAAATTCTTTTAAATGGAAATAACATAACAATGGTAAACCATAGTTTTTCTTTAATAATTAATAGTTTTAAATAAGTCAGTTTTTCCTCTTAACTATGATAATCCATGAAACAGATAGGGGTATTTCATAGGTGGCATAAGATCTCATGATCACACTAAAAAAATTCATGAGAATGGCCAGCTATGTCTAAAAGCAATTGAAACCGACCGAACCATCTAGTAAGGCTTTGACCTCTACTAAAAAGAATTGTTGTAGGTTTATTTATCCATTTAGAGTGAATTTTAACTGAAAAGAAACAGTTGGGAGTTTGTTGAAGTTGTAAATTGCAATCTTAATAAAGATATACTGTGAACAAGTCAATGTTCTGCTGTTCTTGGAATCATATCTATAGTGTGATCATGGAATCTTGGGCCACTCGTCAATATGTCATATGTAATCAGTATTAACTGATAGGTAATGTAAGTCAAAAATAATATATCATTATTACAATTTTGGCCTCATTAGGGAACTGATATTCTTTTAAGTTAGCATTAAAACATTAGACTATTTATTGCTGTGACAACTCTTTGAGCTGTTCCTGCCTTACAATAAATAAAAATCAGGATATGCAGGAATTTATATGGATTTTGGATCATCACATTGTTTTGTTTTTTCCTAAGCCCACTAACAAGAACAACCTCATGGGTTTCTGACCCTCTCATTGTATGAAATCAACAGGTTTCTTGAAGTGTAAACTAAATAATTGTTTTGTAAATTAATAGTGTAAATTTAGAATTATTGTATTTTCAGTAAATTTAATAGAATTTTTCCTGCTTCAGATCAATAAAAAAACCCAGAGGATATATAGATGACACACCATTTATCCAAACATGACTACTATATAACATTATATTTTTTTCTTGTTCTTTCCTAGGCTATTCAGGATTTTAGGCTATGCAGGATTTTCCCAGGCCAGAGGATGAGGGCAGGGAATTTAATATCCCCTCCGGCACCAGGACGCTAACTCGTACTTTTTTCTTAATCTCATAACTTTGCTTATCTGGTTGCCGGGTAACTCATGCGTTGTGTGCCCACGTATTATCCCATTTAGCCATCCCGCCCCAATAATATTATAATATCACTTAATATCTTCATTAATTCTTCTAAAATTCTATCTATTCAATCTTTTGTGGTATATAAATTTATTTTGCATCTCTGATGACTTTTTGTTTAAAAGTATAGATAAAAAGTTGAGTGTTTCACTGTTTGAGACATTAATAAATTTATTATTATTATTTGGTTTAAGAACTGGGGAATCTCTATAAATATAATGTATTTGGAGCATTACATCTAATATTTTTTATTTTGATTGTTTCATCTGTCACAGAATGTGTTGACAAACAAGTCCATCTGTTATTGTGTCTGGGCTATTTCTTTTCATTAGGCTTCCTGTATGTTTTTCTCCAATATCATGGTTTAAATCCAATACCATGATACATAGAATACAGATATAAAAAACCCGACTAAAGAATCTAAAGAGATATTTCTATATACTTTAACACCTTCATAGATTATTAGGGAAATTGACATTTGAAATTAAACTTTGTGTAGTATTAGTGTGCCTTCCACTCCTGTATGAAACTCAAACTTCTGGATGTTAACATGCTCTGGTACTTAGGACGGCTTGTCAGGAGTCGTTATGTGTAGTGGAAGGCACCTAATTACTACACCAAGTTTAAGTATTCGTTGACTTCCATTTCCCTAACAATCTATCCAGGTGTTTTAGTAAATATGCATGTACATTACTCTAGATGGATAGGATTATTTTTGTAGTTTTTTAAATTAAATTTTTTTTTTTTTTTTTTTATGTTTTTACTTTTTCAAGTATTGGAGTTTTATATTCAGCATCTCACAATGTCACACATATGGTATAAAACAAACAAAAAATTGAAAATATTTAATATATATAATAAAATATTTTTTAGTATTTTGATATCAAAATGCTTTAAAACATTCACAAGTTCTTCTTGAATAATTTGAACCATATAACTTAAAAATTGATCGAGTTGTTTTCTAAGAAAGTCGTTACATACCTTTTAACAGGTAGGCTAAACATGATTTATGCAATATTTTGAGCTCAAATTGTTTTAAAACACTCATGAGATTCCGCTGAATATATTGAGCCATTGAACTTGGAAATCTATCTAGCCGTTTGCTAAAATATCATTACTTAACAGTAATCAGATAGATTATAATAATTTCATACAATAATTTGTCAGTGTTTTTGAGCCCAAACTCACTGAACAATTTTAGCCATCAACCTTATAAATCGGTCCAGCCGTTGGATCAAAAAATTGTTACATCCCTTTTAATGGATTGATTACACACATTTTATATGATAACTTGTCAGTTTTTTGTGTTCAGATTGTTTCAAAACATTCACAGAATCTCATTGAATGATCAAACCATTAAACTTAAAAGTCGGTCCCATTCATTCGCCCATAAAACATTCCTACAAGCGGTCAACCCTAACACATAATCCTTCCTGTAGCTCCACTGTAGTCTGGTTAAAACATGAACAGTTAAATAAATATAAATACTTTATCATATACCAACAGGGTCTTCATTATAAAAAATTCACAGAATGGTTTCTTTATTAGATGTTGACCTTAGGCAACAATTGAACAATATTTTCCTAAAGATTAACTTACACAAGCTTCAGTCACTGAAACTCTACAAAAACATTTTGTAAAGTATTATGAATCTTATTGCATATAAAAATATCTGATATAATTTATTTTCTTACTTTTTTAATGGTGAATGTGTTAGGCATTTGTAAAAGAAAAGAAAAAAAATTTTTTCTTCGGTCTTGTTTGTTTACTATACTCATTTCTGGTCTAAAGCCTTAATTTAAATCATTCATATTTTGTTATTAACATTTCAGAAACGCTATCAGTAATTAATTTTTGTTTTAGCTTGTTCCTGGTGGTGACATGCCCGGTGAAACATAATTTAATTGGAACAAAAACTCCAATATGTACATATGCTTAAGGTTGTAAAATAAAACATTTTTTAATATTTTTTTTTCAAAAACATATCCTTTAATTATTAATATTCACATCCCTGATTCAATTAAATTATAAAATTAATAAACTTAGTTATATAAATATAAATTACAGATTTATTTTATAAATCTCTTCAGGGTAATAAAAAGAACTTTTAGTTCTGACATAATTTTAAATCATTAGTAGTAAATTGTTTGTAACGTATGACATAGAAGGTCGTTGTGATGGTTCTTCGTTCCAACACTTTTCATAAAGTTTTATGTATCCTTTAGTTTCACATTTGTATAGTGTTTTAGGGCGTTCCTTATTTGCCACAACCTACAAAATAAAATAATTAATAACAGTTTACTTGAAAATAATAGGATCTAGTTTTGTTATAAAATTGAAAACTTTTAATAATATAAATATTTTGTTTGAACCTACTTTGTTTTAACCCTAGACTGACACTGACATTAACTAGACTTCCCAAGCTCAAGGTCTCCAGTTCAAATCCAGCTAATTAATTGTTTAAAAGATAAGGAAAAAAAATTTAAATTCCTGAGATAACCAATCATTAGTCTAATAAAATATTAGAACAAGAATTATCTTGTATAAGATTTTTCCAACTCATCATCAGAATTATAACCGATTAATTATCTCTTTTATTTGAGTGAAGGAATATGATAGCTCAGTGAGCAATTTTCTGTGCTCCAGGTCGTGAGTTTGAGTATGGTTGTCAGGTACTTATTTATTTTATTGCATTAATCATGGATTGCCCCTGAACCTGAAAGACTCTCTTGGGACAAACCCAGCCTCTCTAAATTGTTTGCTCTTGATTAACCTTTTAGAGACGATGAGCAGGAAGGGTAGAGCATTCTCAAGGATGGAATACTTTTCATCACCCCTAAAGACCATTTACACGTTTTTATTTAAGGCATTATTCAAAAATGCCCATCATCTCCATTCACAAAAATATTACCTCATGGGAAGGCCGTGAGTTAATTTAATAGTAGAATTGATCACTAAGCACCCCATAGTTTAACGAGGAAGAACCTAGTATGTTCCTGACTCATATATTAGTCCACCATTGTGAAAGGTTAAATAATTAATCAAGGGGAAAACCAGGCAGTTTTCTGTAAAGTACTAAACTTAAGACTTCTGAAGGTGGTCCGGTTTTTTATTTTACTTAGACAATTTTCTAAATAAATACTGATCGTTAAAAATAAAAAATTAATTTCAGTAATTTCTTCCTGAAATGCCCAACTTTTAAGGAGTGAATCAATTAGGTTGTTTTTCATTGAGAGAATGGTCAGAATTAGAGCTTACTTTAATTGTTATTGTTTTCTGGTATTATGTGTTGCCATGAAATTTAAATATTGTATATCCATATAAAATAAAAATATAACTTTTAAGGTACCTGATAGATGATTATATGTTTCTCCAAACCATTATAGGGGTTTTCTTTATGTAAAATCTGCCATAAAGTTATGCCAAAAGAATAAACGTCACACTTATCAGTTACTTTTTTGCCTTGAAATACTTCTGGCGCCAGGTACGCTACTGTCCCCTAAAACAGTAAAATTAATTGATACTATTATAATCTTAATTTCATTAATTTGTTATATTTAGTTTTTCTAAATCTTACTTGTATATTTTTCAAAGGAATAGGACTTTTCATGTTGTATGAATTACCGAAATCACAGAGTTTACTCTGCATTGCTTTCAAATCGAGTAATATATTTTTTGGTTTTACATCGAGGTGCACAATGTCGACCTCGTGGCAATACTCTAAAGCTTTGCTGATGCCAATCATGATTCTGAAAACTTAAATGAGTCACTCCACACTGAATTTTTTTCAAAAGTTAATTAATTTTTCAATTTTTAAATAAATTAATTTTTGACTAAATACTCGTAATGGACACAATATGTCCATTGAAATCAAGTATGATCAAGATAAAAAACAGATAATTAAATTTATATACTTATATAATATTTAAATATTGTAAAACTTACTTTTAAAAAATGCTATCTGTTAATTTAATTGTTTAAATAATAAATCTTTACCATTCCACTCTAGATTTAATAGATCAGTAACCTTAGGTAAAGTACCATCTGGACCTGAGCACAAGGGTATTAAGCCCCTTATATAAAATCATTAATTTTAGGAACAAATCAAAAGATAAATATATATTGATTAAAAAAAAGAACTAGATAAATAAATCATGATAAATATATTTTTTTTTCATACATGTTATCCTACACCTTTGGTGTTCTATAAAAAAGGCAAATTCTACCAATTGAGTATTTTCAGAATTTTGTCTTTTCATAACATGAATAGCTACAGATTTGTACAAATATCAAATCTTTAACTGTTATATTTATAAATTTCCCTTATAGATCTTTCTTGCTCTTTTAAATAGTGAAATCAGTTTACATTAAAAAAATATCTTATGTATGTCAAATTTAGCTTTAATCTTAACAGTTGGTTTCAAAAACGGACTCCTGCAGTGTAAGTTTTGTAAGTGGACATTTACCAAACTACTAATGTAATTGCAGGATTCTGTTCTGATCATGTGATAATCTTTAGTAGTGGTTGTCTGTTATTTTCTGAAGAAAATTTACACCAAAAGACGGATTTATTAAATCAAAATGGAAAGTTAATTCTCTAAATTTAAATTGAAGAAGGAAAAAGTCATAGGAATTACATGTTAATAAATTTCAGAATGAATGATAGGTAATAAAAAGTGAACAAATGAAGATTTTCTCAGTTCAGAAACATAAGATATTATAAAGGAAGGAGATGGTCCGGGGTTGCAGTCATAAAAAGGCTAAATAGTGGTAAAACTATTTTATTGAAAGCCAACGTTTCGACCCGACTTTGCAGGTCTTCATCAGGGCTAGAACGGACAAGATACAAAAAGATAGAGAATTGTGGCAATTACATAATATTTGGACATAATTTATAAACAATGTGAATAAGCTTATTAGAATTATAAACAGTAAGTACAATAAAATATGGACTAAGTAAGCTGAGTAACAAGATCCTAAAATAAAGTAAATAGATGCTAACAATTGTTGTAGTGTAATATATAACAAATGAAAATGTGAGTATAATTGTTATATATTACAATTGTTATATATAACATTTGTTATATATTACACTACAACAATTGTTAGCATCTATTTACTTTATTTTAGGATCTTGTTACTCAGCTTACTTAGTCCATATTTTATTGTACTTACTGTTTATAATTCTAATAAGCTTATTCACATTGTTTATAAATTATGTCCAAATATTATGTAATTGCCACAATTCTCTATCTTTTTGTATCTTGTCCGTTCTAGCCCTGATGAAGACCTGCAAAGTCGGGTCGAAACCAAGTTTTACCACTATTTAGCCTTTTTATGACTGCAACCCCGGACCATCTCCTTCCTTTATAATGCAACGGTCAACTATTAAATATTCAATAAGATATTATACTTATTAAAGAACATTAACAAGAGAAATCCAACTCCAATTTAGGCTTTCCAAATGCAGCAAGTAATTTTTCGGAAAACTAAGCTGGTTAGCGTAGTTGTAAAAGGATAACAGGCTAGTTGATATTATTGGTAATGGAGCAAAAAGGCCTATCTGTAGGCTCAATGGCAGATCTTAACTGATCAACCCAAAGGAAATATCCTTAAGTGGTCCCACACAGAAAAGAACTTGAAGATATTGAAATGTTATTAGAAAAACATTTTGGAAAACCTGGAAGGAAAATATCAGATTAGAATGATACAAAAATTTGATCGAAACTCCTGACCTTCCAAAACCCCAAGGACTACTATTTTACCAGAAAACGTTTGTGATTCAGATGAAGATTTTGACAGAGATCTCGTGTTGTAATCAATATGCTATAGTATAATTATGATTTGTTAAACATTAGTTTAATATAAATGTTATACTTAACATTTTTATTTTATATTACCAGTTTGAAAAATATTAGGCGTCTGATCTCTGAGTTTATAGGCTAGTTATTCATATAGTAATTTGGAGTCATTTGCACTAAAAATGGAAATCTACAATCATGGTTGTTTCCAAAACGGACTATTGTGAATATTCGTTTCAAAACCAGGACATCTGTATTTTCAAAGATGAATTTGATTAACTTTATAATATGAGGAGTTGTGGGGAGAGGATGTGGTAAAATTAATACTATATATTAAAATAATATTTTATTGTTTACGCCGACATTTTGGCCCTCTGGCTATCAGTCTACCAACTGCTTCCTGCAGTGCCCGATACCATTCCCTGATGAATACTTACATAGTAGATCGAAATTGCGTTAAAAATAAAATACTATTTTAATATATAGTATTCATTTGACCGCACTCCCCAACCAACTCCTTCTCAAAAAACTGTTTAAGTTGAATTATGAAAAAAAAAATTATCATTATTCATTTAAATGGAAGCCTTTCTATGAAAATTGGCTTTTTTTAAAAATTCTAAAAATAGCAGATGTCCCCTTTGATATGAAGCCACTCATATGTATAATAAAAGTGACTAGAAAATTTAAGTATTTGGGGAGAATAATGGTTCCGAAAAGGAGAGCCTCTGAGAGAAAATCACAAAATTAGAAAATTTAAGCTTTCAAACAGGCAAAATTTAAAATAAAAGCAACCTCCAATGCAAAGTTAAGGCATTATAACGTTGTGATAAAGCCTGTGATTTTATGTGGGATGGAGACCACATGACTACCCAACTTGTAAAAGCTGCTAAGAATAGAAAGGAGGATCTTAAGAATAATCTATGGGTCCAGGAAAACACAAGTAGGTTATACAGACAAAAATCTAACGAAGAGATCTACCCTTGAAATCGAGATAAGAATCAGAAGGCTGATGTTCTATGAACACATAAAAAGGATGAAGGAGGAAAGATTGAACAAAAAGATCTTTAACAAAATTTTTAGCTACAAAAGCATGGGAGGATACACAGCAAATAAGAGAATTAAAAATACTTAAAATTCCAGATGCTAACTGTCTAGATACAGGAAAACATTGAAAAATCTCACCAATATTGAAAGAGAAAAAAGGAGGGGTACAAAGTGGTCCGAAGAAAGAAAATTAAGACTCCCAAAGAAGCCTAACCAATGATATTTGCGTGGTCCTTAGTGGCCGTTACGTAATTAAAAAAAAAAATAGTGTTTACTGTTTTATTAATGTTTTTACATGAATTTTTATTTTTAAAACTCAATAACTTTATTGAATTGAATTGAATAACTTTAACCCCAATAATGTAGTTGAGAATTTGCTATCGTGTGACAGCCTGATTGCCAACTCATGGAGCACTAAGTTGAAAGTAATATTTGTTTTTTCCCCTAATCCTTTGAGCAGAAATTTGATAATTTAAGGGTGTTAAGTGGTAGTGCCCACCCACCAACTTTTTTAATATGTGGTGCCAGCATTTTTAGGTTGGGTTTGCTTTGATTACTCATTAAAAATTAATTTCTGTTCTTAATTATGGAGGTAAAATTGTTGGTAATATTAAAAAGTAATTTAAAACAATGTCATTTAAAATAAGATTATTTATAGTTATGTTTTATAATGAAATTTCACTGTATAAAGAAACTATAGAGTGGTTAGGAAGAAAAATATATATTGATTAAAGACCTTCCTCTGCATTTATTTTTTTTAAGTTATCTCGACCATTGCCTAACATGTTGATTCGCTGCTGTGTTCCAACATAAATGGGTAATCCCAGATGAAAAAAATAATTTAAACTACTACTATTTATTGTTATGGGTCAGTAAACTTATATAAAAAATAATGATACCTTATACTGTCTTCAATACTGATTTGAATGGCCTCTTCATTCACAGCCTGCAACGTCAAAGGTGACCAAGCCTCCATAACAACAATGCCATACTTTTTAATTGGGTTAAAAATAACTTGTCTTACATCAATAATGTTTACATGGGATAAAACTAAAGCATTACGTTCTCTGTTTATTGTGGATTGGTCAATAGTCATTTTAACGACTTTAACAGCTGCTTTTTCTCCTGAATATTATTTAAATTTCATCAATAATTATTATTTTAGTTATATCATTAATAAATATGAATTAAATATTTTTAAAAATTTTATTTGGTGTAGAATTGATTTATGTTAGAAAATATAATACAAAAAGAGATACAAAAAATAGGGACACATAAAACCAAAAAAGCCACATTGACTTTGATAGGGAATATGAAATTCAATATTTTATACCACCTTTCATATGGGTTATCCTTTGTATGAGTGAAAGAGAGACCATAGTGTCAAAATTGCATTAGGTAGTTATTACTTATTTTAATGTAGAATTTAATTTCTCATAAAAAAAAAAAATTAAAAAATTGACTTTTCTCCTGTTATGTTCATTTGATGTGATCTGAAATCTAATGTCAGGTATTTTTCTTTTTGTTTAAGCTTAGTCTTAACTTAATAAATTTTACTTTCAGAAGACGTTAGTTGGTAGTGCGGTCAGAAAGTACTATATTATATAATAGTATATTTTATTACATTGTCTAACGATGTAGGTCTTCCTCAAAGCATACCATGGCATTTTTTGGTGATAGTTCCACTATTTCCTTAAACATTTACCTTTAAATCTATTTTTTTGTGTGTATGTGTTTGGGCATTATTAAATGTTAATTTTTCGTGGTTTAATATAATTATATTAAAAATATTATGGAAAAATATTTTATTTCCCTTTCTATAAATGCTTAGTGCAATGAATACATGGTAGCTATTTTATATTGCATGACAAATTTCAAACTCAGTTTTTCAAGAAAATGGTCCAATATTTCAAATTTCATAACCAGCTTCTGATATGTTGGTGGCCACCACTAGCGGATCCAGGATTTAATTTTGGGGAAGGGGACTTCAGCCTGAAAAGTTTTTTTTTTCATATACATATAAAGATAATTTGAAAAAAAAGAAAGAAATTAACTACCTATATGATATGGTGTTTAAGTGGTTCTTGAAGTTCTATTAAATGTAATTAAACGGACAAGAATACTTTAAGAGATAGTTTTTAATATTTTTTTCTGTAAAACATGGTTATATTTTACCATTTTGGGGAGGGCTTCAGCCCAAAAGCCCCCTTTCTCCGTAGATCCGCCTGTGGTGGCCACTGAGGAACTTAATTTTTTTAAGAAGTTCACATAGTTACTCTCAGAACAGTCAATAATTATTCTGAAAGAGAATTATTTTCTGATTTACTCTACCAAACTACATTTATTCATTGCTCCGATTTACGCCTTTGGAGTCAGCCCTGAACTTCAGGTCGAAACGTCGGCAAATGTCAAAATAAATATTATCATTTATTTTTGCCTTCTTATTTGACTGATCACCCCAACTATTCTTCTCTTCGAACTACATTTACATATTCCCTTTACACTTATTAATTAATTGAATGATTGGAAATTATATAAGTTTTTGTTATTGTTTGTTATGGTTATTGCAGTGAAAATCTTTGAACTTATAAATTTCAATCAATGAACTAAAATGAAAAAGTATATTAAGAAAATTCATCTTTCATCCATCCTCTCCCTTTATTATCACTTAACTTCTTAAAGTTAACATTTTAAACATTCTGTGATGATTAACTTTCTGTTTAATTCAGTTAAATTATTAATTTATTAAAGTAATAGAAAAATTTTACTTCAAGAAGATATAAATTACCTTATAAAATAGTAAAACTTACAACTTAACCCATCACAAATTTAAATATGTCAATTACTGATACCTCTTAAACAGCTTAGAATCACAGTTCCAAATGTCCCCTTTCCAAGAATATAATACTGTTTCTCATCAATACCATTGTCAAGAATATCTTTAATACACGGTTCAAACGACAAAGGATTGCACATTTTTGGAACTTTTGAATTATTAAACGAAGCGCCATCCTTAAATAATTGTCTTCTACAGGGAGAAACACTTTGAAAATGAACTTTTACATTGATGTAATCTGAATCGGGTACAGGTACCGATAATTTACCATCAATCTGCTTCACTTTAAAAGGAGACTTGAACCTCATAATTGGTGATCTAGGGCTCAAAGATTTTTTCAATTGTTGAATAATAGGACTAGCCATAGAACCAAACTGTGTGCATTAAACAATATTTCCTGACAGACTAAACTTAGCATTGTATGAACTTTGAACTGTCTGATAATATTTAGCAACAGCATCTTTATCCCAATTTAATAATATTGTATATTTTTTAGAAATTATTTAATGAAACTTTTCAATTGTTGAATTACTCAAGAAAATTGTAATTAAATCTGTTCTCAATTATTAAAAACTATTTACCTAAATTTGAAATAACAAACAAAATTGTTTATACGATTAATTTGGAAATAAAGATATCGAGAAATTAATAATCCCTCTAAGTAAGTGTTATTTATTTTTCTATTTAAAAAAAAGGTTATTATTAAGCAATTATGTATTTTAACAAATGTGTATTTATTAAAAAAAAAAGTAATAATACAAATGTTTTGATTTTTTTTTAAATTAATGATTTCAATCCAGCATTATGATATTAAACCTTTTTATTCACATCATAATAATTTGTACTTTTAAAAAAATATAATGTATTAACTTTCATAGGTTACATTTTGAAGAAAGAAAATTTATATTGGATACTTAAATTATATTGAAATGTGAGAGATGAAAGTTTAAAAAGATATATGTGTTATAAATATTTCCAGAACTGTTTAGAATTAGATTAGATTATGAAGTATCTAACTTATAAATGATAAATAGTATATTGATTTTTAAACCTTGTTTCTGTCATTAATCCATACACTTTGTTTAGGAGTTCAATTTTATTATGGTCAGGCCACAAGTAGGAAGTGAACTAGCCCCAGAAAGAAAAAAAAAAATGTAGTGCGCGCAACACACAACTTTCATTTACCGATCTACTATGAATAGAAATTATTTTCTGGCAATGCTGGGCTGTTATAAATTTTTTTGAAGTGCATTTTAAACGGAGCTAAAGCTTAAAGCTTACAGATAACAAGTCATTAAGACCATTATAATTACAAAATGTCTATTTAATATATCGATGACAGGCAATAAAAATCTAGTCACTCCATCTGCTTTAATAAATCACACAACTTTCTTTGCTTTTATAAACCTCAGAATGACTAACTCCAATTTCAACATTTTTGAGTGATATCATTTTAGTGATATTTTTAGTTGAAAAAGTTATCTATGCAGAATATGAGTTAGTTGATTCCTGAGGTGGTGATTGCTGTGTTGAAATATAGAACTGAGAATAAAGTATAAATTTAGGTACTGATTTCTCATGAAAAATGTTCTTAGGAAAGATATTTTATTAAATATCTGTAGAAAAAAAGGTTTTTTTAGTCTCAAAAATTAAAAAAGTATATTTTAATAAATTTATCCAAATTTTTGCCTCTTCAGGGAAAAAAAACTAGAGACCATATCTTTCCTCCTAATTGTCCGATCTTAAGGATTTTTTTTTTTTTTTAGGAAATTCCATAAACTTTTTAAAAAACATACAATATACCCAAAAAAAGCGTATACTTTTTCAGTTATTCGGAATTTAATTTTACCATCCCTCGTAACTTTTTTTCTGGCTTCTTTTCGTTGAAGTATGTTATATAGATAAATTTAAAGGGTTTCGAGAAAATGACTTTAGCGAAGTTTCATTGAAATCGGTCCATTTGTTTAGGCGCTAGTCTAAGCGCAGGTTTTTCTGCATTTTTTATTTTTTTCTCCTTTATTAACTTATCATCAAATTCTTTCAAAAGTTATATTTAGCATTTTTTCATAACTTTGAATAATATGAAATGATTAACTTTTTAAAATAAACCATATTAAAGGTACTTTAAAGCAAGACAGACGTATATGAACATTGGGCATTTAAGCCCTGTAAAGTGACATCAATGGGAGGGATAAGACCTAATTGATATTAAAGACCACTTAATTATACAATGATACACCGAGTTTAATCAAAATCGTTAGAGCCGTTTTTGAGAAAATTGTGAAAATGTGTTTCAGCGTTGATATAAAGTGGCACTTCCGGTTAGCTGATTTTAAGGAAAAAGTTGCCGTCACATCTAAGGCATATACCTATCTTAATTACCTGATATCAGTTCCGTAGGACTTTTCGTTTTTGAGCTAGACTGCTAAGATACAAACACACAGACCATTTTTCGGGACTTGGTCATTTCGACTCAGGGTACCTCAAAACGTGTAAATCCGTTGAAAACTCAAATTCAAAGATTTTATCAATCGCAATACTTACCCTTACTATAGATTACATATATACGTAAGTGAAAGTAAAAAAGAAAAAGTAAAAATAAATAAATATCATTTATCTATTTTTGACTGAATATCCCAACCAACTTTTCTTCAGTTTTCATTACAGTCAATCCACTGTTATTAAAAATAATAACAAATAAGACAAAAGAAAAAAAAAAAAACGTTACATTTTTCTACAGGTTACATCTATAGGTCTTTTTTATGAAGTCAAGAAGCTGAAAGTTGTACTGCATGAAGATTTTTGGATAGTTAGTTAGTAATAATGGCACATGCAACCATTCTCTGGAAACTGATTAAGTTTCAAAGTAGACACCCAGATGTAACGGATACTTTTTGATATTGAATTGTTAATCATTAATTTTTGATCCAAACTTCACCCCCAACCAAGGTTTCCTTGAATTAAACCTATGGTCCGGCAATATCTTCACCATTGCTGTACAGAACAATTAAATTAACTGTTATAATCTTTGATTTTTTTTTAACACCATTAAAAACAGGACAAATAACTGACTTTCCTTCTTACTGGTCATCCATTGAATGATTTAGTTTCCATCAATAAGTTTTTTTTTTACCATTAATAATTTAAAAATAATTAACTTTGTTGTCGTGTGATTTTCACTCCATTGAGTGGAATGACTATAGCACATTCATTGTCACTGATATTTTTTGTACCTTACCATTTTTATTCCTATTTATCCATCCACTCTAAAATAACAAGTGATTGTTAGATATTTATATTGCGGGCGTACAAAACTTCTGTTGATAATTCAATAACATAACAAATAAAAATACTTTAGTTTATAAAATGCTATTCATAATTAAGTGCCTTTTCCAGGAAGTAAAGTCAGACAAAGGTTTTAAGTGCAAACAAGATGTTCATGTAAACATACAATTTTGCATTTTTTTGATTTATTTTTTATTAAACTTTCAGAATGAAGAATTGCTTTGAAATTTCGAATAAATTTTCTAACCACTATTAAAAATAGCTGGAAGTGCAGTATTATGTAAAGGGGGATCGTAGGAAATTGTTTAAACAAATGGTGTCAAAATAGAGCAGGACAAACTTTGTCCCTGCTAATATTTTGCCAACTAGACTTATTTAAATTTAGAAGCCCTTAGTGCATCCCAGCGACTCCAGTTGTCGTCCCATGTCACGGTAATATATGTTCATCAGTTAAGCTGGGTAATTTTGTCAGTCAGACCTCCGGTCTAAACCTCACCCCTTATTGGATTGTATGTATATTGATGTTTTGAATCAATTCTTTAAATAATTAAATGTTTAATTCATAAGATATAATTAGTATTAAAAGATGCCAACTTATAAGGCAAGTTCTTAACCTCAGCGCTGAGCTATCTCTACTCTAAAGAGGGTAAAATAATACCACCAACATGCTCAGCGCTGATTTTAGGAGCTTACCCATACTTACGGGTACAAAATGGGTTGAAGTAAATATCAAATTAATTTTTTAGGATTAAATTTATTCCTTTTTTTTAACAAAATATTTCCACAAATTTCTTAATTTGGATTTTATAACAAAAATAAAAAATACTTCACCAGAATATTTTAATAAACTGCATAAAAATAAAATCAAAACTTTTTTTATTTTAAAAAACACAAATATACATTTAACATAAATAGTAATTAAACATTTAGGCGACTGCTGTTCATATGTTGTAAATAACAGATACAAAAGAATCGGTTGCTCACTCAAAATGATTCAATCACTTGAGAGAAACCAAACATGCAGAAAAAGATTAATGATATAATTATTTTTCAGGTCATACAATAAAAATAAGCTGATTTGAGCAGAATAAATAACTTAAAAAAAAAAAAATGTAGAGAATCTCATATTGACATTAAAAATTTCAGGTTACTTTCACAAAGTGAAATAACTACAAGAATAAAATATGAAAACACTCAACAGTTAGACATATGTGTCTTACAATAAAATCTGAATTTAAACCAAACTTAAATGAATATTAGAATAATGCTTATTTCTTTTGAGGTTACATATCTATCCTCTCACATCACCTGAATTATCTCAACAGAAAACTGATAATTCTTAATAACTTCATGTTTAATACAAAATAATCAACATACAATGACATGCTTCAATGTTGTACTCAGAAGTAGCCATTTAAAGTACTTTCTTCAAAACTTCTGTAAGAAAAAATAAGTAAATAAAAATTAGTATCTATAAACAAAACTGCACAGTTCATAAAACTAGCTTCTTTATAATTTAGTTGATACTAATATATTTAAGATGCAGAAAGTTTTATGCTTCGTGATAAAAAATTAAGAATATAAATAACTCTCCTTAGAAATAAAAACATTTATTCCAATAATTTAATTTAGGAATGAAATCATATTACAGTTCAAAATTTAAAAATAAATTGTATCAAACCTCAAGATGAAACAGGAATCTTTGCATCTTTCCCACTTTTCTCATTCTTCTTTGTAAGCTTCTCTTCTACCTCTGACTTCCCTTCTTCTTCATTATTTTTTTCTTTCTCCTCATTAGCTTTCTTATGATACTTAGCCTTTTGTTCATCAGTGAGTTCATTCCAAAGACGGCCTAGTTCCTTGGAAATCTGAAACAGATTTTAGAGACGTTATTTACTTGAAGCTTAATATTTCTTGCACATAAAACTAAGATACAGAAGTCGTATGTAAACCTGTACCTGAGTCATAGAGAAATCAGGGTTTTCTTTTTTTATTTTTGCTCTCATATCAGAGCAAAACATAATGTATGGGCCAGGTGTTCGTTTCTTCTTAGAATCACTCTAAAAAAAAAAAAAAAAAAAAAAAAAATTGATATATAATAAATTAATTTAATAAAATCAGACATTTCAAGTTGTATTTATCATGCAATATTCCACATAATAATGTAAACCTGCAATAGTTAAAAAAAATACTATGGTTAAATAGTTCTACTAGGATTAAAAAGTATTTCTTGGATATCACCAATAGCTAAAAAAATTACAAATACTTAAATACATATATATTTATACACTAAAATGACTCACTTTTTTTGCCTCCGGTTTTTCTCCATCCCACTTTTCTTTTAATACAGATGCTTCGTCTTTAAACTTTTTCTTGTCATCATCTGTCATTTTGGCCCATAAAGCCGCACATCCTTTAGTGAAATTAGAAAAAGATTCTTTTTTCTCTTCCTTTTCCCAAGCTGATTTTATAAACAAGGAATAAGCACTTGGAGGACGCTTATATTTTTTTCCACTATCATTGTCATTTGTTGGAGACTTCCTTTTTCCCATTGTCGAAGTAAAGCTAAAAAATAAAGATTGCCCATTTAATATGAGAAAACACAATATTTAGACAATACTGAATACAGTAAAACTTCTAACAATCACTTTCCTACAGCAGACAAATTTACAAATCCCATATTGTAGTATTAAGGTCTTCTAAATAATTATAATTCTATATAATTGAGAACTTCAATTCTATGTATAGTGGCTTAATTAATTTATATAGGGAATATGGTTTGATAATGAGGTATTATAGTTTTATTTGTCTATACTTAACTCTTGTACAATATGAATTTGAATTAATGGGATGGTTCTTGTCTCATAAAAGTAATTGTTTTCAGTAAATTATGATAAAGTTTAATGTCCTGCCTTGATGGATATAAGAGGAAAGACATTTTGAAATGTACACCTTTATTGGAAGCACTAGAGGATCCAGGATTTAATTTTTTTTTCATATATATAACGATAATTAACTTGAAAAATAAAAAGAAAGAAACTAACTACCAATATGACATTGTGACTTAGTTATTCTTGAAGTCCTATTATATGTAATCACACGAACAATAATAATTTAATAGATAGTTTTTAATATTTTTTTTCTATAAAACTGTTATATTTTACCATTTTTTTTTTTGTGGGGGGAGGGGGACTTCAGCCCGAAAGTCACCCCCGTAAATCCGCCTGTGATTGGAAGTGAGTAAAAAGGGTTTAATAAATTAATGTTGAAAAATTAAAAGGCAATCTAATCTAGTTATACGAGTTCAAGGAAAAGAAAATGGCTGCTCTGTGGTTTCCTCAGGAAAGAAAATCCCAAAAGGGGAGAGGGAACAAGGGATTGTGTTTTGGCAAGCAGTTGTTGTTTGGCTGTAGTGAAGAGAGGATAGGAGAAGAGATCCTGGCTTCAGTGGGTAAAACCCAGTAATAGTATTACCATCTTGAAAGTTGTTGTTTGGTAGAGAGACTAGTTGTTTGGAATCACAAGAGAGGTGATCTCCCAGGGAGTTTGAGTTGAGTAGAAGAAAGTATTACCATTTTGGAAGTCGTGTTTTGGCAAAAGATGGGAAAGCATTTGAAGATAAATGAATTAAGTGCAACAAAGGAAGAAACAGTATCTATAGAAAAAAAAGTTAGCTTACCAATCCATATTTGACTTTATTTTAAAATCAAACAGTGTTTAGTGTAAATAATAATAGTTTGAGTGTTTTGATCTGATTGTCAGTAACCCACACTTGAGATAAATAAATATATTAATTCTCTTATAATTTTGATTATTATTAAACAATCTCTTATTTATTTAGGAAGTATACCAATAAGAAGTGAGTTTAATTGCACAATTCAAGGATAGTCAGAGGGTCAGCTTCAACTACGTCTGCCTATTTATGCTTCAGTCTTCCTCTTCTTCTCGTTCCATTGAGGCTCCATCAAAAGCTTCCTGGGCAACTCTTCTTCACTTATGTGCGTCACATGCCTCACCCACCACAAGTTTAATCACCTGAACAACATTTGGCTGATTAAATAAACCACAATACTCTTGGTTTGTGTGTCTCCTCCAGGTTCCATCCACCAACACTACAAAAATCCTTTGAAGGATTTTTCACTTTAACACTAAAAGGATCTGTTCATTATGGTTGGACATAGTTGCAAGTTTCTTAGCCGTATTTTTGCATTGAGCAGATTACAGTTTTATATAAATGTAGTTTAGTTTGGTGGGAGAGAATTTGGCTACCCAACCTGTTTTCTCAAGTTGTTGTAGCACCGATTTGCAAAAATTATTTTCCGTTTCTGCACTGTTGTCCTGTATTACCGTAGGGCCTAAATATCAGATTTGGCGTCTTATTCCAATTGGCAGTCCCTGAATGTCACTATCTCATTGCGTCCAGGCATCTCCTCATCTGGTTCACCTCAAGCCCAAGTTTCCTTGCAGGACTTTGCTAGAAACACTTCCCTAACAGCTTGCTGTGAGCATCCAATGATGTTGACATCCTCAGCATAAGCCGATTATAACGTAATATATTAATAATAATATGTAATTTATCATTTTATAAATTCTTATAACAAATTTAGTTGTTATTTTATCATATGTAAGTGCCATTCATTTAATAAGTAAACACAGTTTCCTGAAAATTACATACTTCAAAATAATTTTTAACTATTTTATTTTTATTAAAATTATAATTTCATTAAAAAACTTTGTTGAGCAAAATTTTATCATAATATTCAACTTCCACTTACTCAAAAGAGATAAGTAAATCCCTAACCGATCCTTTTCAGTTGGCTTCTTTTCTTTCAGGAAAGAAGCGATCATTATGATCTTGACACAGCTACCATAAAGAAATGTACTTTCAACAAGTTTTTATTAAAACTTAGAAGGGAAAATTAGATCTCGAGGAACAAAAATGACAGTGATAATTTACCTAGAAAAAACTGTAGACTTATAAATAATGAAGAATCGTGCTGCAAGCAGGAGATTGCAACTTCAATAACTTGAGACTGTTTTACTGATCAATCTACACTCAATTTCAGCAGGTTAAATGGTTTTCCAATAATGCCTGAAAAAAAAAAAAAAACAGCTGTCACATTGTAAAAACAAGTTTTAGCATGATAAATTCCAATTAATAAATGGTTAAGATCGGAAGAAAATTGTCAGGGACAAATGGCCGAGTAATTTCTATTCAAGTATGGATCATCACCACAACATATAAAAGGCAAAGCTATGGAAAACTGGATAGAGCCACTTCAATTCGGCTGACCATGCATTGATACTGTAATATTTTGGTCATTATCAATTATTATATTTTGTAGAGAAGGTGGTTGGGGTTTGCAGTCACAAATAAAAATAAATAAATTATATTTATTTTTCTGATGTTTAGGCCTTCATCAGGGCCAAGAAAAGACAAGATAACAATTGATAAGAGAAAATAGTTATGGTAAACAATAATATAATAATGATTATTTCAAGCTAACCAGAAGAGAATAGGTCATAATTTTTCGCCTCAGAACTGAACCGTTTGAAATCACACCTCTTCAGGAAGTTCAAGATAGGACCCAGTCCCCTGCATGAATGTGGCCAAAATAATCAAATGACAGAGCATATTCTGCAAAACCGCCAGCTGGTGGAGGCAAATATGGCCCCAACCCACAGACCTTGGGACCAAGCTTTTCGGGAGTGTGGAGGACCACTAATTTCATATTTTTACTTCCCGACATAGCCATCTAGAGGTAAGAAATAACAATATGAAGGTGAAAGGAATAGTAGTCTAAGAACATATAGGTAGAACAAATTTAACATTAATAAATATGTGGAAAATAGGAAAAAATCACATATTTATTAATGTTAAGTTTATCCTATCTAAATGTTTATTAGACTAATATACCTTTACCTAATTAGTACTTGTTGCTGTTACTATTTTCTTATATCTATTGTTATCTTATCTTTCCTTAGCCCTGATAAAGGCCTAAACTTTGGACTGAAACATCACAAAAAATAGAAATTATTTATTTATTTTTACTTGTGAATACACATCCCAACCATCTCTTCAACAATATATTCACGACAAGCAACTATTCATCCATTGTCATTAATTATTATATTTGTGAGGTTATATTAAAGATTATTAAATTCATTAAATTATTATATTTAATGAATTTAATCACATCTTACGGCATCTCAACTGGGTTGTTGGCCAGTCAAACCATCTTTAAAGATTTAAAACTATTGGTATTAAAATAGTTGAACAACAAGATTTTAAAACATTTTTTATATGAATAAAAAGATGGTTAAAGTAGCCAAAATCCAGTTGAGACAAAATTCATTAAATATAATAATTATGACTTAACTATTACATATGTATAAAAAACTCAAATATTGTCAAGAAAATCAAGAGTTACTTATTTAGGTACTAGCTCAACAAGTGTTCCATCTGGATGGAGCTAGGGTCAAGATCACTTGATCACACTTGTAAATAAATGCTGAAAATAGGTATTTTTTTTTACAATGCTCTGTCCCATGATTTTCTATTTAGAGTAAGAGTGATTATCAATTAATTCTATTTAAGAATTAGAAATCATATGTTACTAACACTATTATTATTTGAAAATGAATCTAGTGTATTTGTAAATAGCTCTTAACAATGATAAAACCAAAGGTTATAAAATATTTCAAAACAAAGGAATAATACATAACTAGAGAATTGGATAATAACGGACATAAACTGACGATGAACAATTATAACAAACAAAATACATGTTTTAATATTATAAAATCACTATTACTTAAAAATAAAATGTCACAGGATGGAGCATTGCAATTAAGACGTGAAAATAGTCGAAATTAAATGAAAGAATATGGAGGGACCACCTCCAGGTATTCCAATCACCATAGTTCAAATAGGTATAATTTTGCTATCACCTTATCTTGAGTTCTTCCAATTAATAATATAGATAACAGTGTGAACTGAATTATAAACAACATAAAGGTTATATTGCATGCCGATGGTTGAATAGAGAAATAAATATAAAACATACAATAAGCAGTAAAGTATATATCTTAATACTGTATCAGAAATTAATAAATGAAATAATTAAGATTAAAAAAAAAATATGCGAATTATACGTGTTTTATTGATTTGTGTGTATATAATAATTTATTTGTTATCAATTCTGGAAATGTCGAATTTTCGAATAATTAAGAGACTAAGAAACTGTCATTCTACGTTAGAACTCAAAACGGAACAATGAAATAATCTAATCTAATCTAACGTAAATATTTCGACATCACGAATAAAAGAGAATACAACTCAACCCAATTTCACAAATTGTTGTTATCACTAGGTGATATTATCGGATGCATTCGGCTATTTCCGGCAATCTAAGTACACGTGTGATCGAAGTGATCTTGGTCAACGGGTGATCCAGATGGAGCAATGTGAATTAGTTGCTTACTTTTTTAATTGTAATTAAATCGAACTGATTCCATAACATTCATTTTGGAATTATTATTATTGGAGCATCCTCTGATGTATATTTGGAAAAAAAAACAATAACTAATAAAATAAATAATAATCTTCAAATTTATTTTAATTGAACTTATAATTCACTAACTTATTTTAATTGAATACTTTTTATGGTGAGGTATCAAGATAGATATTTTTGACCAGTAATTGGAAGAAACTTAAAACTTAAGGTTGTGTAAATAAATCGTTATGTTTATCGACATCTCAAAAGACTAGAAATAAAATTTTCAATTTATTCCGAAAACGGTTCAGAAGTAGTAAACAACCGTTTAGAAGTAGTAAAAGTTTACACTAAAAATTTAATTAAAAGCTATTCTTTGGAGGAAAAATGGCGACTAAACTCAATCAACAGAGTAGACTAATCACCACATCTGAATTAAGGTAATTCAAAATGGGTATATGAATTTAAAGTCCAAATAATACATAAATAAATTAAAATATCAAAATTACTAAAATACAAAATACAATACATCATTGAAACATGTTGACTCATTAATGCTACAACGCAGGTATACTTACGTCTCACTGTTGTGCTGAAAGAGGGGGAAGAGAAGTACGGAAAACACAGCCACTCACTAAGTTCAGTTTTGACAACAATGTAAAAACATTTTTCACTGCAATATTACTTTAATAAATCACATTTGAGTTAATTTCAACAATGAAATAATATTTAAATTAGTTATAAATTAATCTTGCGCATTAAATCCCAATTTAAAAATATTTCTCTCGTTATTTTAAATTTTGTGTTCTGTTCATATTGACAAATTATTTAATTAATTAAGTTATTTTATAAAAATCAAATGGAATGTATCTTAATAAAATTGGATTGAATACTGTTCCATCTAGAATACATTATCAGTAGATTAGAGTTCTCAGGATAATTTTTATTATACTGTTTATCATTCAATTTTTTTTTTCATTTATCTTGTTTTTTGTTTGTTATTTATTTAAAGATAATTTTCAAAACGTAACGATTTCAAGAACCGTTACAAGTGATTAAATTATTTAACATCGATGTTTTAAAACAATCGATATCATATATGTATTAGTGATTGTATATAATTAATAGTAATAATTATAATTAACTGTATAGAAATTTAAGCAGAAATAGAATTATATTCATGGTCATATGAATGATTGTATATATTATATAATAACTTCCGAAAATATTAACATTACTAAGATACGTCCTGGGCACTAATTAATTGGGGGAGGCTTTGGAGCTGAAGACTCCAAAACAGAAAAATATTTTTTTATTCATTGGTTCATATTTGTTTCTATGAGCGATCTGAATCAAATGATTTACCAAGCACAGTATGCTCTCTTTTTAAGTTATACCACATGTACTTATGCTACTTGATGAAAGTACATTTCAAGAAAATATATAGAAATTTATTCCTAGAACTAAGGATTTTAAAAATAATTGTTCCTTTAAATTCTATTATTAAAAAAAAAAAATTAGCCCTCCTCAAAAAGTAATCCTGAATCCATTACTGATGTGAATGAAAACATTTTTGTATTAAATGTAATAGCATAACTTATAGAAATAATATAAATATTTCTATTCATTATGTTAACATCTTCTACTCCTGTCTAAGGTTCTTAAATTTTGTTTGGAGTTCTGAGTCTATGAAGCTATTACCTTTTGCGAAACAATTTTTACTTCAACTTTACCTCCCACTTTTCTCTTTTATGCAATTTTTAAATTTTATGTCAACATAAAAAATCATTTAACAAAAATTCCACAAATTCAAGACTATCTCAGTTATTCACATAACAACGTAAAATACTTGCAGATGGATTGTGCAAAAGAAATGTTCAAGACAGGGTAGGTGGACTACTTAAGAATTTTTGCACTATGTAATAATGATATGAAGATACACAATGAACAATAAGAATTTATTATAAACAAACAATTGAAACATCGCCACTTTGTTTTTAATGTTCTAAATAAACTATTACGGTAAAAATAATTAGTTGTTCATTTAGCATTTTCATAAAAATCTTTGTGTTTTTGTTCGACAATACTGCTTTTTTAATTTTTTCTCATTTTGTTAAATTTTATTTAGTTTAACTTGTTACATTTTTGTCAGCCGATTTTTTAAATTGACTTTTATCAGTAATGTTTTATAATTCAGCTAAGCATATTAAAAGAAAACCAGAATATCCAGCCCATACTTGCACACAACTGCTGAGATAAATATATTTAATTTATATGTTTATTTAACTTTCAATATTTGCTTTATGTTTAAAGTCATGTGTTTATACTAATGACATTTTTTTATTAAAATATGTTTTAGAAAAAAATTAATTTTCTGCTTCCTTCTATTACTATTCCTTGTTTTTAATTAAAAATAATTTGAAAATAAGTTTTTATTTAAAGCAGTTAGCTACAAATGTATAAAAAAAAAGAAGGAAAAAACTAGACTGATGACTTTGTTTGTGGTTATTAAAACATACATAATTATTTGGGATTAGGGTATTTAAACATTTTTACCTTAAAATAATGTTCTTTTACAGGCAACTTGTTAGAAACTATATTTCTGTATTAGTTGCAATATGCTTTACAAATGTTTCACAAGCTGATGAATCAAAACAGGAATGTTTACTTAGCTGTTTAAACCTCTTGAAACAGATCAAACAACTGAAACATCTTAATAAGTTAGGTTATTTAGAAGGACGCCCTGATATAATCGCAGAAGAATCAAAATACATATTAGGAAAGTTAGATGAATTTTATAAAGAAATACATAATGGACAAGAGCCTTCAGATCCATCAGAGGATATAGTAATAGATTTCTATGAAGCAGATGATGAGGTGGTTACTAACAAGCCCATCTTGAAAAATAAGGACATAAATGCAAATCTACTTCAAGAAGTACAATCAATCACATTGAAGACAAAGGAATTAATTCAAAGAATGAATGAAATTAAATTTCCGAAAAATCATCTTATCATTACTGCAAGATCAGAATTAGAAGACTGAGGAAAATGCAACAATGGGAATATTTATGAGAACAGTGCATAAAAAAGTGTGTCAAGAACAATACAATGTGCACAATGATCCAGTTTTTACAATCTGTATCATTTATAGTTTATAATTAATGTTACTATTTTATTTAATATAATTGATTTATCTCTTCCTAAAATTTCAAATTAAGATACATAGACCATTAAACCCTATTCCTGTTTTTCTCCTTGTCAAAAAATCTTAACAACTGATATTTAATCATGATCGATATCTTTTAATTTAAAACCTAATCTATGTTTTTAAATAAACAGCTGAAGAGCTGTTTCAAAATATAGTTATGGTATCATGGAGTATTTCCTTCACATTGTTCCTTCAATCTGTTTTTGAGACATTGTTTACAAATATTTCAGGAATGCATGTTAGAGCTCACTGAATATCTAAAAAAGATTTTTAAAGATTTATTTCAATTTTATTAGTATAATGTAGTTTCTCAGTATCCTTTAAAGCTGACAACTATTAAATTTCCAATTCCTTTCACAAAATAAGTTAGATTCAGATGAAACATAATCTAAAAGCACTCTAAAAAAAAAAATAGAACAAAATATATTGGATGAATTGAAGTAGATTAAGACAAAAAATAAACCCAAGGTATAGTGAGTGCCCTTACTGATAAATGGTTGTCCATGGGGTACTATATGAACTATGAGGGACCTTCCTAATTTGCCAGCCATCATTTTGGTTATGGCTTCTGGCAAGACTAAAGCAAAGCAGACAAATATACAAGAAGATAAGAAACCAAAAAATTATGAAATGGAGGTCTAGGAGGTCCTGAAATCATATTATTCCCATTTTTCGAAGAGGATGTCAGATATTGGTTCACTGTCAGCTACTGTTGTATTTACCATATACACCGACATATACTCATCAAACATAAAAGGTAAAGGTATTTTGAAATAAAACAACGATAAATAGACAAAGAAGTTTATTCCTAAGAAGATTAAAACTATTTAACTAATATAGTGAAAAACATTTGATTCCACTTTTTATCACACTTCCTTTTTAGAGTTTCCCTAATTATAACCAGCCTCCTTTTCAATTTAATTTAAAAAATAAATATTTAATTTCTATAAACTGTATCTACAGACATGAATAAAAATATAATATACTGTAATCTATAATTTAAAACTTCTCAAGGTACATAAGTACACATTATACATAGTAATGAAATCTAGGACACGAGAATCTATACAAGACAAGGATGATTCCATTAATTTAGGAGAGCATCAAATGCTATTGATAAAAAATTATTGATTTACATTAAAGTTAAGTACAATGAAAAAATCACAGGCTTTTTTTCCTACCTCTCATTAAATATATATGATTACATTTGAACTACTATCAACAAAAATAAACTTATTAAGTTATTAACCAACAAATTGGCACAATAATTTTAAACAATAGTTTAAATTAGTAAAATATAACATTATCTTACAAATTGTACTATTGTAATTTCATTATTATGTGCTGGCACTGTCAACTCCATAATTGCAAGATAAGGAAATTAAGAGTAAAATTATTTCTTGAAAGAAAAATGCTCTATGTGTTAATAAAAGAAAATAATACTGATATTATAACATAGAAATCTTCAAAAATATCATTTAATTACAACAATTTTCCAATCGGTCCTAAACAAATATACAAAATAAAAATTCATATATACTATATTTATACTAAATATACATAATTTATAGAACAAAAAAATACCATAAATACATTAAAACAGTATTTACTTCTTCTTAGGACCAATCAGAATTTATCAGCTGACAAATAATAATAAAAGAAAACACTAAGAGCTTGAGAACTAAACAAAAACGATAAATAAGAAAAAAAAAAAACATTTTCACAGATTAGTAATATGCCTTAGCACCACAAAAGAATAGTTTCAAAATAGAAACACATTCTCTAAACACCTCCTCTCATTTATGTATATATAAATAAGAAAGTTTTAATATAAAACACATTCTTGGGGTGTGAGATGATAGAACATAAGTTAGTAGGCTAACAGCACTAAGTATACAATAAGGTAAAGCAAAATCCATTCCAACGTTTAGCCAGGCAGAAGAGCTTCAGCGTAGAAGTCTGGTTCATCTTCACCTCCATCATCTGGCTCGTCACTATCCAACTAAAAAAAAGAAATAAATAAAAAACTATTAATCACTGTAACAATCTCTTATCTAGTGACAAATCAAATTTACAATATAAAGGGTCATATCACTCGTTCCAGGTAATGTCCCTAAAAGGCCAAAGAGGAGACCAATGAGGGACCTCCTTGTCTAACAATCTAATGTAGATATCACACCAGAATGAGATACTGCTCCCCATCATGCCATTAACTTCAGTTATTGTTAATTCAATAATTGTCGATATAATAATCGACAAGCATAAACAAATATTAGCATTTGCATATGTGAACTTCTGCTCTTGAAGAAAAAGCAAGAAGACTTGGTCAGGAGATTGATTAACCAAGAAAAAACCAAGTATATAGTATATTATAACATCGAATAATTTCTTCTTCTTTGGACAACTTACCCATTTCACATACCTGGGATTTCAATTAACACAAGACCATGAAATGGAAATTGAAATCAGAAGAAGAATATTAGCAAATCAAGCTACCTTGGACTGAGACCTCGTGTGGCATACAGGTTCATTTCAAGCAGGACAAAGATTATTCTATACAAAACTCTAATAGACCCAATCCTAAAATATGGTGCAGAGACATGGACAACAACCAAGGCAACATGTCAAAATATTCTGTTTGAGAGAAAGGAACTGCAACGAATATTTGGACCCGTCATAATTAATGGAAGATGAAGAAGGACCAAACAAGAGATTTGTGATCTTTATGATGAGCCCAACATAGTATAAACTGTAAAGTGAGTCAGATTAAGGTGGGCAGATAATGTTGTGGCAAGGATGGACGACAAGCAGATACCAAGGAAGCTGCTTTTGGAAGTCATCCACAGTTGAAGAAGGGTTGGCATGCTAAGGCTTTGCTGGATTGACTGTATTGCTGGAGACACAAAGATCCTTGGAATCTGCAACTGGATGGGAGCGACATTAGACAGACTCCTGGCAGTTGGTTATTGAGGAGGCCTAGACATGGTAACATATTGTAGAGCCGAGGAAAGTAAGTAAACAAATATTTTAAGTCTGAAAGAATCGAAGTTAAATTTGACTCTTAAATTTTTTAAAATTGTATTAACGAGAATTAGAAATGGTTGTTGATTAGATAAGTGTTTTGGTGGAAAATTTAACAAACATGAATGAATCTAATTTAATTATGCTCTGGTGGTTTATACATTTTTCTATAAAAAACATTTGAAAAGAAGAATGTTAATTAATAAAGAACTGAAATTTTTATTTTTGACTGTTGATAACATGGTCTAATGAGGTTATTGTCAATAAAACTAAAGAACATTGCTCCGCATTACTCTCCACATATCAGTCAAAATAAAACATTACATTATATTAATTGAGCACTAATGAACTTGATGTATTGATCCCAAAACAAGCTAGTCTAATAATATTATATTTTCATTTCAATTACAAAAGCATTATATCATCTATGTGTTTAGTTCTCAACAGTGTACCTGTGTGTATTCACTTTTAAATCATTTCATCTTTTTCTGGAGCAGATATTTACAAATTAATGTTTTAATAAACTTAATGGCTCTGTTCTTGTCTTAATGAAAAATACCACATTTCATAGCTTTAAAAAAAGTGGCAAAATAATTTTCTAGTAATTATTTCAAGCTTCATGGAGGTTTATTGCATAAGATGTAAAATTGCCCACAAGAAGGCAGACGAAGGATGAACTTACACGGCACTAAGTTGACACTAAAATCTTCCTCCTATCAACGTTAAAATATAAGTTATTTTTACTTTGATGGCAAAATGAATCTTAAGTAATTTTTCCCAAAATTTATTTATTTATTAGTTGTTGTTTTTATTTTCAAAAAAATGTTCAACATTCTTTTACAATTAATGAAAAAAGAAAACCCCATTTCCTTACAGGGATTAATAGTTTAACCCAGAGGTCTCAAACTATGCAGGTCCACAATCCCGCCAAAGTTTCTTAGATTACATGATAAAACTTTAAAAACTATTAGAAAAATATAAATTTAGGAAATTACTCAACCAAGTGGTTATTACATGATTTTTTTTTCTCTTAGAATGTTTATATTATAACTGAAATGTCAATTATAAAATAAGATTTTTTTTTCATCACATGCCATGGTCCACGGACTTAGGTGGAGGTCTCAATGTGGTCCGCGAACCACAAAGTTTGGAGACCCCTGGTTTGACATATTGTGGGCGATTAATAGTTTTAGAGTAGAAAAGAAAGTAATGTCCACCACATTCAACCATTATTCATTTTTTATTAGATTACAGATATACAAGCTTCGCTTCTCTGTACATCATAAATTATTTTTCTTTCAAATTCATTAATGTATAAAGTAGTTTAAATATAGTAAGTAAAAGGAAATATTTACAGCTCTAAGCTCCATGGCTGAAAATATATACCGCATCTGGGCTCTTAAAGGGACCATAAGAATTAGGAAAAAAGGAAATGCAAGACTAATTTGAGAAGATTTGACGATCCATAGCACAACCAAACACATCAGCTGAATCAAGGTGAAGAGATGCATCTTAAGAGTTTGCACCTGCAACAAAAAAATTTATATATTAAAATTAAATAAATATTTATATAAAAATGTTAATTTTTATAATTAAGACAGAATACTCCTTACTTTTCTGACATATGATACGCGTGGGTGGTGTTTGACAGGCATAAAGAACAGACGACACCTCTCAAAAAATTGGATTCCATTAATCGAAGATATACCCATGTAGAGAAAGACGCCGAACAGAACTGCCATCGGTACCAATCTCAGTAGAGGTGACATCAGTACAGAGAGTCCAATCAATGTACTTACTAGTAGCGCACTCAATCTTTGTTCTGTAATAATTAATTTTTGTTTATAATTGCTCATAAATATACAAATGTTATTTGATAGCGTTTCAAATTATTTGAAACAAGAGTTTCACAAACCTTTCACTTCAATTATATGTGGCTTTTCACCAGGAGCGTGGGTACGAGACATTACTGTTACCGCAGCAACATGCGTCACAGACCTTACAGTAGCAGCGCACATCCATGGTGCTCCTATAAAGCCACATCCGACGTTCAACAAGCATATCAGCACTATATCCACATGAAATCCAGAACCTTTTTTCAATTTCCTTTCTTTTTTATCAATAATCAACCTAGAAAATTAATTTAATTCAGTGAATTAAAAAAAAAAAAAAGTTATTGATAAGTGCATAAAGAACAATAACTAAAATATTAATATCATAGGTGATAAATAGGCAGGACAAAGTCATTTTTAAGGTTTTTATTTGTGCGGGTTTCGAGCATCGAAGTTATTCAATGACTTGAACACCTTCAGTGCTCGAAAAACTTAACCCTGATGATCCACATGATTGGGTTGAAACATCGGCACAAATAAAAACCTTAAAAATGACTGTCTTGATTATTTATCACCTATGATATGCAGGACAGTCAACTAACTTCCTTCAATAATTAATAGATATTAATATAATAAGCATCATGCAGTATTTTATATCACATTTGGAAGATCAATCTATACACATACTTAACTATTTAGTTTATCTTTCCACCATTAAAAGTCAACTAAAAAGTACATTGTCAAAACTTAGAATTCATCAGTACCAAAGATTTCTCAAGTATTTATTTATAACACACTGATAATTTAGGTTACAAAAAAAACTTTTTTTTTTAAAGCTATGGATTATTTTTAAAAAGATTAGATGTTAATCAAAATGATGACTTAATAATATACGGACATATAAAAACTATAGAAAATAAAAACCAATCTGATCAATTAAATTGTGATTAAACTGCTTACTCTGAAATATGGGTTTCCATAAAAATAAGAATATAAACCAGAAGTGCAGGTACTACAGCAGCGAAAGCACCCCATATTGGAATCCCGACTGAAGGAGGGATCATCCATCCTCTGACTTCAGGATTTGATGGACTCAATCCTTCAGGAACTTTCAGTTTATCAGTGTAAGTTCCTGGGGTGATGTAATCGAGAAAAACCATAACGATGATAGCTATTGGAACACCAAAGTCACCGAGAGCCCTTCTAGCCTGAAAAAGGAAATTTAAAATTAAAAAGAAACAAATAAACTGCAAAACAAACAAATTTGAAAATAATTAATGAACTTTTACTGATATTTCCAAATTCAACCAACATAAATAAAATAAAATTAACAGTAAAAATAAATTGTTAATTTTAATAGTGTATATACCAATTTAATATCAAAATTCAAATGCACATATTGCTAGATTGTTAGTTTTTAATTACTTCATAGATTACAAATTTATTAGTGTTATAAATAGTTAATTAAAAAACAAATATAATAAAACTTTCAAGTTAACAGATAAAAATTTACAAAGGTATGAAAAATAATAAGGAAAACAGTACAAAAGTAATTCAAATAATTTTCTAATGAAAACCCAGGAGTTAATCTATGAAAATGTTTGAAAACCCTTCTTATAGTCTAAGTATAATTAAATGTTTTCTGAGCAATATACCAAAATAATCTTTCATTACAATGATAAATAATAATAATAAAAGGCTTAGCGAACCTGAAGGTTTGATGCTGCCAATTTCTGTTCACATACTTTCATTCACCGACAGCTAACCAAACCCAAACCCCAAGATCAGTCTTAATACAATACACCACCCACTTCAGTCTATGCCTCGGACCTTTATGAGTCAGCACAGGAGACAAATTTTAGAAATTTTTTACTACTAACCCCGACAATTTGCTAAAAATTTCCTCTAACTCTTCCCTGGCCCGGGAATAACACCGTACAGCCTAAAAGGCAGCAAGGAAGGGGAGAAAAAAAAGTTTATGATGTCAAATTATTTTCAATTTTTCTTTTAATAGTTTTTGAATATTTAAAATGTAAATTATTTTATATATTATTACTGATGTGAATAAAAAAATACTGAAAACAATTAAAAAAAAAAAAAAAATTTTAACGACTTTTTATCAAACATAATACTTACACTTCTTCCAAGGAACTTGCTGTTTCTAAAATGCCTTAAGTAGTAAGCAATGAAAAATGTACCCAATGCCAATATTGTACAAAAAAGAGCAGTATTAGGCTCATTTGCTGGGGCGGGGTGAGACACAACAACTTCAGTATTATTTGTAGAAATTGATATATTAGTTGACGGTTCAATTAATAAAACTGATGTTTCATTCACAATGCTTCGACTAAAAAATAAAATAAAAAGTACATACAACTAATTAGAAAAAAAGAGACACAATTATATATGTAATATTGCCCACTATTTCATCACCTAGTTCATCAGGTTTAAATTGTTTTGTTAAAAACATTTATAATGAGCATTTATTTCAATATTTTTTGTTTTAAGTATCCATATCTTTGTTTTAAGTATTTTTTGTTTTTATCTTCTTAAAATGAAAACAAGGGAAGTAAAACAGCTCATGAGCTCATCAAACCAAACCACAAGAAGTTTATTAAAATATTTGCATATAAAATAAAAAATCGCTATCAAATAAATATTGACAAAACCAGCTGATCAGCGATTATGTGCTATGCCATCACAACCTCATAATAGGCAAGAACAATCAGTAGATTATTTTTTAGTCACATCCTTCAGGTTTGATGCCATTTTCTCATAAGTTTTTTATATATATTTTAGGCCAAAGGTCACCAAATATACACAGTTTTTATATCCTGTATTCTTTATTCGACGTTTCAGCTTCAGGAGCCATTTTCAAGATTCATGCACCGTGCCATAAAATTTTTAAAATCCATCATTGCAAATGATTCGTCCTTTAGTCATTCTTTTATTTCAAAGAATGTTGTTTTTTCACTTCTCTTTCGCAGACGATATCAAGAAAATTGTTGCTCCTCACTAGGGCATTCATACAGGAAACATCGAATAAAGAATACAGGATATAAAAACTGTGTATATTTGGTGACCTTTGGCCGAAAATATATATAAAAAACTCAGTAGATTATGTTCATGCAACGTAATTAATAGAATGGAAGCTAAAAAGCATAATGTTCTTTTTATTTATAAATAAACAGTATATTGACAGCCATACTGCAAAAGCCTGTAAGACCAAGAACTAAACATTTTCGGGAGACGAAAAAAACTGCATAATTTTTGTTCTATGAGCATTATATTTTCGGTTCAATTTTTTTTTGAAGGCCTAACACAAAAAGTATTGCTCTATGTAACTTTTTTGACCACATTGTTGCCAAATAATCTTTTAGAGCAATTACTTCTAACATGTATTAGTTAGGTAAAAGCAATTTAATTTATTGTAATAACACCCTTAACTTTGTTAATAATGATCAAAGCATGACAGGAACTAAGTCAGTTTCCAAAATGTAGAGAAACAATACTTCAAATGAAAATATATTAACAAAAATTTGATTGGAAAGAGAGTATTTGATCACACGGGTTATTCACTTTTTTGTCTCCCACTGCAGGGACGGCTTGGACGGAGTGCATGCGCCCCATTTCAAAGAGGTCTATGAAAGTTTCAGTTTTAACAGAATCAACTTCATATGGACATGGTTTGATTAACAAATGCTTGTTAAGTTCTAAGTAAGGCAATCTTTCTAACCAAATATAAATAAAGTACATACAGCTGTCGGACAAGTGTTGAATTTATCTTGGTTTCATTTCCTGAAAGCCTATTGATTACTGGGTAGTCAAGAACTGAATACCGACTTTCATTTGCAATGGCACAATATTCCTCCAGCGTCATCAGAGGATGCTGATGGAATACCTGTAGGATAAAAGTTTTTCTTTTAATCACAAATATACATAACATTATACTACAAAGGCATATAATTTAATATTTATACATAAAAGTTTATCTCTTGGATATCTATATTTTAGCAGTTAAAAAAAGCAATAACAGAAATTTGAATCATTAATTAATTTACCATAAACATTTTGGTGACGCTCTCGACGATATAAAGCAATGAGATGAGGCTGGCAAATATTTCTTCAGTAAACCTCGTGAACAGCTTTACAAACACACTTCCCTCAAAGAAACTGATGAAAAGAGCGATGATCAGCAGCCAGATCCCGATGAATACTCTCATAGTCAGGTAATTCATTTCATTTTGGGTGCAAAACTAGAACACACATATCCCCCGCCTTTGGTGTTAATAAAATACCTCTGTTCTAGCTTAGAAGAAGAAAAGTGTAATATAACAAATACCTAGATTGATAATCATGAATTGATATTTACACATAAATTTCAATTCCCTGACAAATGTAAATTCAATGAAATAAAATAAAACAACATAAAAATTGGAAAACATACTTAACCATGGTTTAAAACATATATCGATAAATATCAAATAAATAAAAACAAATAAATAAATAAATCTATACCTACAAGATTCCAAAATCTACATAAATGTAAATATGAAGGTGTTTTTATAAAATGCAGTTGAGGCAAAACTCCATTAATCAGAAAGACAGACAAAAATAAAATATATAAGTTAAAAAAAAAAATTCTTAGATTGTTTTTAAAATAATCCAAATAATAGTGCAAGAAGTTTGTAAATTATCATAAACTCTTATAAGAATAATTTAAGATTCATCATAAAAGGATAAATATTATCAATTACTCTCTGACTTTTATTATCATATTGTATACATGTAGAAGAATTTAAATTGTTACTGTATTAAATTTGCTTAAGTTTACTGTATTAAATTTGCATTAAAACTATAATCTTCATTCAGAAAAGTTATTGAAACGAATGCATGTTCTCTTAAGTCTTGAATTGATAGATTAAAAAAACCCAACAGCTTTACTGGCAAAAGAGATGATCAAAGAGAGATGCAATGGCGTTGATTAGTATATTATAGTATAATCTATAAGGCCAAAAAGAATTCATCAAGTCACCTCTAGTATAAACATTTAAACTTAGAACTGTATTCTTCTACACAAACTACTGAAAAAAGAAAAATAGAAATATTGAAATATTTATGGACTGTGGATCTTTACCGTATACAAGCTCTCATCAAAGAGAAGAAGAGGACCAGTAGCACCGATGATAACAAGAGGTTGCCCAGATAGGAGAGCAAAAACTATTCCAGCCAAAGCTGTTGCAACTAGTGTTTCAGATATTCCAACAAGATTGTTCGTCTTATCAGCTAAAAAAAAAAAAATCTCCTATTATTTAAATAAAAATAAATATATAATATCAAAGCATAAATATAAATCATGTAAATCACACATTTGATAAAATAAATGACACTTTTTTTAAACTGAATTGGTGAAATATAGATTGAATTTGAACAATATTGAACGGAGTAAATAATTTACTGCTAAAAGATATTAGAAGGTTGATGAGAACTTTCAATTCTATTTAATTAAAATTTTTTCAAAACATACTTCTGATGTTAAAGTACTAGTACAATAGTTAAACACGGTTGGGGATTTCCCACAAAGACACAATGGACATACCATATAACCCAGTCTCACTTTCATTGGCTTTAGAAGTAAATTGAGATGTATTTGAAAATAGAAGCACAGGTTAGCAACAAAAAGTACATTTACTCGAATTTGTTTTACATGAAAATAATTTTTAAAAATTGAGTACTAATTTATCAAGTAATTGGTGCATATAGTAAATTACATTCAGAGACATTAGGATTTGCTTTTGCATTTCTTAACCAATCAGGATACCTAATCATTATATTCTGACCTTCGTTTTAATTTATATAATCAATTGCACAGAACATATTACATCATTTTATTGAAAGTGTGGGTTACTATATATAAAACTATATTTTATTTTTATTAATGATTTTCTACAAGATTTATTTGTTTTTTGTTCCTAAAAGTTCCTGCCAATTCTTTTGATCAAGTCTCCTTCTCGAAGACCTCTGGTGACCATGCCATCCTCCACATCCTGTAACCATCTCTTCCTAGGTCGTCCTCTTTTTCGCCTTTTTATTGGTTGATACAGAAAGGTTAATTTGGGCCACTGCATGTCTTGAATTCTTTATAAATGGCCATACCATTTTAACAGCATAGTTGTTTCTTGCTGAAGATTCTACGTAATAGTTCAGTTGGGAACATGCTACTGGAGCCTGGAAATGGCAAATCAGCGTCTTCAAAAGTTTAAATCCAATGATAACTTTTTCTCTTCTTTTTTGGCAATCGCCCAAGTTTCAGATCCATATAGTGATGCTTTTGTTCTTTGTTCGCCTCTAGACCACAAGCTGTATCCTCCTTCAGGAGCTTTCTTAGCAAATAGCTGGATCATCATTAGCTACTACTACCTGGTTGTCAGTGATCCATTGAATGTTATTAACTTATTTATTTTTTTAACTTACATATTTGTTTTTGTTTTTTCTTATCACTGAATACTCCTTTATGTACATCAGGCCATACACTAAATTTGTAGTTTGTAATCTTACATGTATAAATAGATTTTTTTTTTGCTTACAATAAATGTATTCTTCTTTTGTACAGTGAACCCTACTGTTAATATCGCCATATAATATTTATTAAAAAAAGTAATTATAGAAACAGTACATAGAAAAAAATGACTTACCCATCAGACCTCCAAATGTGATAGCACCCGATAACGCAGCAAAATACATAAAAATAGCTGCAGCTACACATTGGCCATTCAAACCTTCTACAAGATCAGACCAGTAGTGTGGATATCGCCTCTTTAGATCTTTTATCAAACCTCCCCAAGGTCTTCCTGTTCTTTGTAATGGGTCATCTCTCTTATCCCTACCATCGCCACCATCCCCTAGGAGAGCTGGAAACAAATGTTATAGCTAGAAAATCCTAACGTAATCATCAAGTGAAAAAGCAATTATTTTTAAATTAGTATAGCCATAAAAATAATTATGAGAGTTGCATATTTTAGATTTCAAAACATTAAATTAGCTTGTAATTACTGTTTTTTCTTTTTTTAATTTGACAAAGAACCAGATACTAACAGTCAAAAAGCCTGAGTCCCAAATTTTCAATATATTTCCCTCCAGTGTGGATAATGCTACCACCCATATCAGGATTATTTTGTTATTAAACATCTGCATGATACAAACTTCAGGCAATGGCTGTTACCTTGAACTATCAAAATAGTTTTCACTTAGAAATAAATACCCTTCATGCATATTCATTTCAGTAGTCCATTCAAATCCTTATTATTCACTTAAACTTTAAAAGATACGCAATAAGCTACCCCATTTTAAGATTTCAGAAACTCTTCTTTTTTATGTCTTAATATTTAGCTTAATTTCAAGATTTTTTCCTTTTATATAGGAGACATTAGTTGGCAATATAACAAGTAAGTAAAATAATTGAAAATATAATATGACATACATTTTTTTTTGTAAAATTACAACTCCCATTTTTTAAAAATAATGTTCAGATATAGTATAGTACATTGGTCTAAAAATATATTAATAAAGACTTTCTTGAAAAACTTTATTATAAAAAAAATTAATTAAAACATTGATGATTTCACTTAATTATTTTTTAATGTAGACTAATTTTCAATAGAAAAATTAAACTTATCACGATTTATCACTATAAAACTATATATAATTAATAATTAATTAAGATATAAAGATTAGGAAAGGATAAGATGGGGAATAATTTTAATTTTTAATGTGATATTTGTAATTTCACACTTGAAAATTCTATGAATTAAAAAAAAAGAAGTAAAAGTTACACAATGAAAATATAAAATAAAACAGAATATACTGTACATATTATTGTTTGTAGGAAAATACAAAACAAAGAAACTAGTTTTTCTAATTTGTATTAAGTGTCCATGCACATATGCATAAGGTGTTGAATGAAATCAGTTAAGCATAAAAAAAATAATCAAAGCTTCAATTTTTAAGTTAAGCTATTTTACAGTTATTGAAATTAAAATAACTTCAGTACAGTTGAACCTCTATCTAAATTGACATTTTCTCTAACGAAAAATTCAGTATATAGAAAAACAGATTTTTTTATTATTGATACATGTAAGTGGTACGTGTTAAAACAACTATAAGTTCAATGTATAGGGATTCAACTGTAACTAGGTAGGATAATATAAAAGCATATTTTTAAAATAAATAAATGTTTATTTATATACCTCTGATTGAGGCAATTAGTTTCAAAGCTGGCAACAATATTTCGGTAATCCTTTGATTTTGGACTCATTTTCCTACTGGGTTGAGAAATTCTTGGTCAATGTAGCTTTGACAATATAATGCATGGGAAACTTTAGAAAAATTAAATTGTGGCGGCTTTGAAACTAATATCCTCAAATAATAATTATAAGAAACTAAAATTAAGGCTCAAAAATAAATTAACACTACTATTCAATTTTACATTGTACATCAGTGATATGTAAAAGATATTTCAAAATGTTTGTTTTCTTATGTAATTTATTTTCCTCTCTTGTAGACAAATATTTGAGCCAATCGATGCTCATAAATAAATTATTAAAAAAAAGAAAAAAGATCAAAAGGTTGCTTTCATTAAAATTAGTAAAGAATTACTTATACTACTAGTTTTTGGCTTTCATTACATGGGGGGTACACAACAGCCTAGTTAAGAGTATGAAAAAATATTATTTATAATGCTAGGAAAAAACAAAACAACTATAAGCTTTATTCTTGATATCAATTCTGGAACTATCTTTTTAAAAAATTGAGTGAAGATAATGTAAGAAAGTATAGTCATAAATCATAAGAGTGGTCAAGAAATAAAATAAGAGTTATATTAAATAAATTATAATGAGGTTCTTTGATTACTTTGGGAATAAATGCAAAAAAAATTGCGCAGTATATAGTTCACTTGATTGTTATAAATAAAAAGTAAAAAACAGTTATAAGATTAAATAACTTATGAAAGACATGATTATCCTGTAATAATTCAAAATATATTTTTAAAAACACAATATTAAATATTATTTCACCTTCAATAATCTATAATTCACTAAAGGACCAAACCTGATTAAACAAATCAAAAAAATTATTTTCTAGATCTTTCATTCTGCCTAGAGTACATTAGAAACCTTAAGGGTGACCCTATCCTTACTAATTGTAGTCTTAATTGGAGTACAAAAGGACTTTCAACCGAACTAAAAACAAATATTTCTCTATTCTAGGCTTCTGATAATAATGTAATAATTGCAAAAATGGTAATAACTTCAAATTTTCAGAATATAATTTATAGTATAACAAAAACAGGCTCAAGTGAAACTACAGGATCCACATCAGCGAAACTATATTGTGATAAAGTGGTAGATATTAGGAATGTGGACCAATTGATTCAATTACAGAACAAAAAAAGTTTTCAGTTTTACTTACAAGTAATTTCAACCAAGTTGATAATAAAATTGTTATTTGATGTTCTACTTATCACTCTTTAGGAAAATCAGGTTTGTATCACAGAATTTTTTTCTGTTCGATAGAAAAGACTTTTTATTTAAAATAAAATTTTAAAAATGCCTAAATAGTATCCCTGTCTTCTTTCTAACAAAACAATGATAGTGAAGTTAAAGTTTAAAATTGTAAAATTAAAGCGTATGGCCTTCACAAAAATATTATATTGCTAAATTGACAACTAATTTGGCTATTTTTATATTTTTATACTTGTTCCTTCCTAAATAAATTGATATTCATGAAAATAATAATTAAAAAACTGTTACATGCAGGAAAATATTCTACACTAATAAAAAAAGAAATGTATATGTAAGATATGCATCTTTAGCCGATCCATTAGAATCAGGTACACATACCTTTTTTCTTAGCCGCTTGATAAAATGATAAAATATGATTAACATGTATAAAATGAAATCATTTGTAACAATAACTTAAGTTAAGAGCTCTGAAATTATCATCCTTAATAGTTAATTACTGAACACTTTTTTTAATGAAAATATAATTGTAATCAACATGCAATAAATATGATAAATGGAAAAAAAAAATATATAATTCTGATACGAAGGAAACCATATTAAAAAAACAAGTTTAAAAAATGTCTAATGATTTGAAATTTAAACTAAAAATATAAAATTTTTAACAATATGCAGAGAACACCTTTATAGAACCTTTATTTAATACTCACTACAAAGTGATTAAATGCTATATATTTTTCATTATATAAGTTAAGTAAGGTAGTTAAAGTTATCAGTTTTATTTAGTTTAGATTATGGTATTCTTTGGTTCGTTTAAAACAAAAAATTTTAATTTAAAAATAATTTTGTCCTAAGTATAACTGTTTTGTGATTCTATTCTATTAAAATTAAAAATACTAAATTAAGGTTCAGTTGATAAAAGTTTAGGAGATCTTTAAAGTTGTACTATTAGTTCCACTTCCATCCGAACTCTAAAGCTATCATTACCACATGACATAAACCATAATTTTTCTATATGGAATTAATCTTACTGAATTCAGTGATATAAAATGTCTTTTGAATATGAAGCCTAGGGTTAATTGAAAAAGGTCAAGAGGAAATAAAAAAGTGGGATTAACAGCAAAGGAAGTACTTTCTTTTCCTAATCCCCCTCCCCCAAAACAATACTTTTGTACTTCCTATCCTCATACAAGTCAATATCTGAGTCGTATTAAGGGATGAACAACATACAAAGATTTTTTTTATAATGCATTAAATGAAATATTAGCACTGAAAAAGGTTTATAAGTTAAAAGAACATATTGTGGCGACTGAAATGATTAATAGCTTCATACTTGTACATGTTTTATAGTTTTATTTATATCTGAATTAAATTATTACTTGTGATAGTGTTCCAAACGAATTCTTTATATTATAACAGATTTATTTTCCTCTGAGGTCAAAAATAAAATGTTTTAAATTAGAGACATAAATATAATATTTAAAAATCCAAAATGAATAAAAACTGATGTAGCAAGGTGAATGGAATAATATGTTAGAAATATTACATTTTTAGAATATCAGTGATTAAGAACGGACTTATAATTAGAAAATTGCAGTTAATATTTTAATTTTTGGCATTCAAGAAAAAAAAAATCAGCTAATAAAATCTATATACTAAGAGTAAAACTATATATCACAAATAAATTTCATATTCTTATAGTTATAATTATAATAAATATTATTAAGTATCAAAGGTAGACAGTAATAAAAACATACAGCAGATTTTTGATTAATCGAATGCACTGAAATTGATTCACTATGCTTAGAGAATTTCAATCATTTATCATTTAAATATTAGATGGTGATAGATAGAATGTGAAAAGAATGTTTACATGATAAAACTTTGATATTAAATATAGATTGTTAATATGTTTTTTTAAATATAAATGCAATAAACTGAATTATTTTTTAAAATCATTTTCAAGAAATACACAGTTTTCAAAAATCGTCTTTAAACTTTTTTCCTTATATCCATTTAGAAAGATAATAAATTGAATTCCATTAAAGTTTTTGGAGTAATTTTTAATAAAACATAAAAAAATTGTAGATTAAACATTTCATTATTGAAATTTTAAAAATGTTTAGTAAAAACTTAATAATAATTATTGAATATTATTAGCAACACTTACTGAGGTGTCTTGATCACTTGAATACAAATTAATTTGCTTTTATTCAGCAAAGTAAAAACAACATTCTGGAATAGATAGAAAAATAATTGTCTAAATGTTTTCTGAATTTAAAAACATTATCGGAAGAGAAGTTCAGTGGAGGAAAATAGATAGCAGAAGACAAGATAGACCAAGAAAGACTGTGGATAAAGAAATGGAATGCTGGACGGAAATGACATGGTTAAAATAGGAATGAACCTAAGATAAAATGATTGGAGTGGAGGCCATGAAATTTTGTGTTGAGGTTAGGAAAAATAATTATATTAAAATATTTGCATAATGCAACTTCAATTATCAATAATCTGCTATATTATACAATTTATACTTGAAAATGTTTATATTGCAATTAGAACTTAGTCTAACAATGAATATTATATTAGCACTATCCAGAAGAAAATATTTCATTCTACTTAGCCTAGAAACAAAAATAAATCAAGAATAAGCATTGTCATTTTTTTTTTTATTTCTTAAAACTTTTATCCTTGGAGCCCCCCATTACTTTGCCGATTCTTCTCATACTTTTGATGACCTTTGTAACTTTGCAAAACTTTCCAACTTTTTTGATGATGTCATTCATTTGGTCGGCAAATTCATTTAGCAATTCTGAAATATAACATACTCTTCATAAATTGCACTACTAATTACAAATCTATTCCAATGAATATTTAAAACCTTTAATGAGGCTTATCTTGTTTACAAGATTGAATCATTAAATCTAATAAATTAGTTTATTAAAAACACCAATAGTAAAAAATATTAAAAAATCAAAATTTAAAAGAATAAAAAATGAAATAAAACTGATAAATATTCAGAAAAAGTTAGTCGGGGGGTGCGGTAAAAAATACTGTATTATATAATAATATATTTTATAACATTGTCCAACGTTTCGACCTGCATTATGACTTCTTTAGGGTATTCTGTCAGGCTCTGTCACCATACTGCCTTCAACAGTGCCTGACGGAATGCCCTGAAGAAAGCCTACAACTTGAAACGTTGGACAATGTAATAAAATATACTATTATGTAATATAATATTTTTTGACCACATCTCCTGACTAACTTCTTCTGAAATTGAATCCACGGTTAACAAACCCCATACTATTATGAAAAACTGATAAATAATAGAAAGAACATTGAGATGAGAGGGAACTTATGATATTGTGAACGGGGAGGAGAAACATTGATTCAGCTAGTGAAAACGGCATGAGAAGTAAGAAATGCCTTGAGTGAATAGGCCAAAAACTTTCTTAGGAGTTCGAGGTCGATGTTAAAACAAGGCAGAGGGATGGGGATACACACGCTTGTTGGTTACATAAGAAGAAGAAATGGCTATCAGGAAATAATAAATACATATTGGTTAGCTGTAAATTAACTGATTGACCAACTAAGATGAGCTGATGACATTGCCAATATTGCTAGAACCAAGTGATTTCTATGAGGAGTCTAAACTAAGTACATGTGGGCTTCGTTGGAGGAAATCTAGCTGAATATGAAAAGCTGGAGAATACAGATTCCAGAGAGTGGAGAGTTTTGTCTACCTGGGATCTGAAGTAAATTCAAGGAACAATTCACTGTGGATGTAGGGAGAAGAATCTTATCACGTATATCATATCAACAGATTTGTCGCCTACTAAACAGACCGTTCTAGACTTTTCCTTTATATATGGAAAAGAAACTTGGTTCACAATGAAAGCAGATGAAAACTGCATCTTTTTATTTGGATTTCCTTGAGGGAGACACACATTTCAATAAGGAACTCTATGAAAGGGGTACTAAAATATGGACGTGAGGTTTTTTAAAGTTAGGAAATTTTATTAGGCTAGATGTATAGCAAGAATGAACGACCCTGAGATTCCAAAAAACTTATCTAAGAGGTCCTATATCATTCTCCTAGAGATAGAAAGTCAAAAGATGGCTGGATGGAGTGGCCGTAAATGTTAAATGTTTCTTGACTTCCAAAATTGGACAGATGTAGCACAAAAATATAATCTGTTGTTGGAGACCTAGATTTATTGATGGATTTTTGTGTCATTAAGTAGCAGTAGTTCACTGAGAGGAGGAAACAAAAGTGACTGTTTACCCTTCCCTGATAACTGTTCTTTAATCTAGCAGGCCTTTATATATGTTTCCGCAATCATTTGCAGAATAACTCACTTCAAGATATCTTAAAGTAAAAGAAACATTTTTCAACTTGAACATCATTTTTGCAAATGCAATGTTAGTTGAATATGCTGAAAATATAAAAAAAGAATCCTCCAAAACTTTTCCTCTTATTTGTATACCTGGAAGAGTACGATTGAATAATCACATTAATTTTAGTAACTCTACCACCTTATTATGTGATTCATCGCCCTAATTAGTTAAAAAATAAATTAAAAAAAGAGAAGCTTACACACATTATAATAATTTAAAATATTTCTATGTGATAAACACCAATAATAAATTAAATCCTTAATGCATAAAAAATAAAAGGTTTCAGCAGTACTTATAATATTTCTTTGAGTCACTAGTTTATATATTTAATTAAGGGTTATAATATAGCTTTATACATTATTTATTGCATGTGATGATTCGATTCTCAGTGAAGAAGAAAGATCTCAAGTTTATAACAGAAATTAAACATTTGAAAACCTATAATGGTAAGAAACTATTACTAAATACCGTACCTTCCTTCTGCGTTACTTGATCTACAGCACTTTGAGCTCGACTTTGTCTCCTCTTGATGGCTTCTGTTTTAGCTTTTAGTTCATGGAATGGCAGAAGAGCCTGCCTCTCCCAATCTCCTGGAGGAAGTACAATACTTGCATTAAGGAACTCATTTATGGCAGAGAGAAGTTCCTTTCGTACTGTTGCTTTGTAAGCAATGCAATGGAATTCCTAGAAATAAGAATAGGATTTTGAGTTTTTTCAAGTCATAAAAAAATAATTATGAAACATTTTGGGTTTTGATTGACACAGAATTATGTGATAAATAGAAATAAAGCATAATATTATATAATGATGTAGAGTTGGTTGACCGTTGATATGATATGAGAAGGAATTAGTCGAGGGTGCGGTCAAAAAATAAAAAAAATTAAAATATATAAATAATTTTAATTTTTGCCGACGTTTCGACCCACTTTGCAGGTCGTCTTCAGGGCGTTGGATGTGGCACTGCGGGAGGCGGTTGAAACACTGTTTTTTTTTTTTTGACCGCACCCTCGACTAATTCCTTCTCATAATATTATATATTTTCAAATGATGTTATAAAATAATTATTTTTATTAAGAAATAATAAAGCATATCGGTTATCTGTCCAACTCCTGAAGATAATATATTTTTTGGTATATTACAGCATAAGCTAAGATGTTTCGGACATCTTCTTAGAATGGATCAAGAGAGAACAGCCAGGAAGACATATGAGACCCGTGTGGAGGGAAGGAGACCTAGAGGAAGACCACGCATATCCTGGGAAGACAGCGTACAAGAGGCGTTCAGGAAGTGAGATATGGATTGGAGTAAGAGAAGAGAGTTGGCTCAAGAAAGGGAAACCTGGTCCGAGCTCTACAAGACATAGCCCACAATGGGCTGCGATATTGGGATCAGGAATATGATGATGATAATCATCATATCTCTTAAATATCTTTCCCTATGATATCGGTCACCGGCGTTCGACACTAGTTATGAAGTTCTTAACAGCATTGGACAACGGAAAAATGCATCAGTTTCAAGGTATATCCCTATTTTTTGACAGCAAACGTGAACTAAATTTCCAATTCAGAGTCTCTATTTGTTGAATGTGTCCTCATTAATGGCCAGCAATCGTAGGAGTGGACTCCGATGCCATTTATATGATGAGTTTTTATTATTTCTCTTTATTTTAGTAAACAAGGGTTAGTTTTAGGGATATAAATCTTAAATATTGAAAATGAATTGAGGAAAAGTTTATTTATTACATATAATTATAATTTTCAAGATATAATTTATACATGTCGAATAAGCAAGGGGAACAGTCTAAGATAACAAGACCATGCATGTGCACTGTCCTGTCACAAATCATTTTTTATCAATCTGGTATGGTATCGGTCCCCAGCATCTGAAAACTTTTTATCAGATATAGAGATAATTGACTGTAATATACACCTTTATTGGAAGTTGGTAAAAATGGTTTAGTAAATTAATATTGAACAGTTAAAAGGTAAGCTAATTTAGTTTCACTAGTTCAGGGAAAAGAAAATGGCTGCTCTGTAGTTTCTCCAGAAAGGAAAATCCCAAAGAGGAGAAGGGACAAAGGATTTTGTTTTAGCAAGCAGTTGGTATTTGGTGGGGGTGAAGAGAGGATAGAAGAGATCCTGGCTCCAATGAGTAAAACTCAGTAATAGTATTACGTTCTTGGAAGTTGCTGTTTGGCAGAGAGACTAGTTACAATAAAAAAATCTATATAAATTTTTTAGGATAATCCAATTTTAATTAATCAAACATATCACTTACAGGATTAGACATTAATGTTGATATAGATCGTCCAATTTCATGGTAATCAAGATCGGCTTCACACGGACCGAGAAGGATAAACATAAATCTTACAGGTATGGGGACCTAAAAAAGAAGATGATTAGAATTATTTGTAAAAAAATAAATAAAATAATATAAGAATAAACAAATTGTATTTACTTCGGTAATACTAGGAATAAGAATGCCTTCAGCTAAACGAATAAAGGCAATAGTAGGCTGCTCAAGGAAGTCGACCGCACCAACGAGAACAGTAGTAGCTTCTGCACCGACTGGAATTCTTTTCAAAATACTTTCTTTTGTCGATTTCTTTGCCAAATCTTCTGTTGAAGAAAGGTAAGTTTCTTCTTTCATGTCAATCTGCATAAAAAACCATACAAAATTATAACAAATATTTTTAATAATCTATTTATTTGATTCTAAAAAACTGAATGATGTGAAACTGTTCAAAATCAGTAGCTTTTATTTAATTATTTTTATTTAATTTAAAATAATCAAAAAATTATTTAATTTATTTGACCATTGGTAACAAAAAGCAAGCAAATTACTGCAGACTAATATTTTACTCAGTACTTACAGAAGTATGGTGGTTCAAGAGCGGGGGTTGCAACAGATTACCGGAAACTTTATCCAGAGCTGAAGCCGACGGGACCAACTTTACTTTTCTTTGGTCTTCATGGAGATTCTATTCATCAAATAAACAATCATTAAGTTAGTTTATAACATAAATTATTAATAATAACATGCAGTTGCTAAGGAACTAATGAGATGCAATTTTGACACGTGTGCAATATTAACTAACATATACTACATAAAGCGGAAAATTAAGGAGATTTAAAGTAAATAATAAATTTAAAATTTTTAAAAAATATTTATAAATACCAATAAATGGTATACACTATTGTTCTTTGTTATCAGTTTTCTAGCTGGTTAAAATATCAATCTGAAATGTCCAAGGTAGATAAGAACATTAAGTAAGTGGATTTAGAAATGAAATCCTCGAAAAAATGAGGGAATAAAAGAAAAAGAGCTCAAAATATTGGTATCAACTTACTAATGAAAAAAAAATTAATATTTTACAATATTAAATTTTACTTATTAAAATTGACTTTTTAAGGTTTTCCTTGCCATGGAAAGAGTTGTAATAGGACAACTAGCTAAATGTTTATAAACTGATGTTTATTAGTAACCATTTGACATAATTGGCACAAATAATAACACTTAAAATATTTACACATATAAATATTTTTTTTTAAATTGCCTTTTGTTAGCATAAAAATAGTTTATAAATAAATAGATTTAAAAATAATATGGCAGGGAGATGGAATTTCACCAATGTTGTTCAACTTAACACTGAAAAAGTTGATAAGAACAACATCACGTAAAAATGGTGGAGTGCTCGTCGGAACAAATCTAAAACTCCTTGGATATGCAGATGATATAGCAGTCCTAGAAAGCAATCAAGAGGTCATTGAGAAACTCACTAAGAATCTGATGAGTGAAGCAGTGCCAATCGGCCTACAAATAAATGAAGATAAAACAAAATATATGATAATAAGCCAAATATTCCACCTAATAACAGGATCTGAATAGAATGGAAATTGATTCGGCTCTACAATAACCTCAATGAATGATCAACATCCAGCATAGGAAGGTGGTTGCCCCATTGCCCGGTCATTGTACTGCAATCAGCCACTGGTCCTCCAGGTTCGAAGAACAGTACTCTGACACTCATACAGATACACTAATTACAGTGCATTACACTCATCCCCACAATAAATACTAAGTTCATTCACACTACTCACCCTAGGGCAACTTGCCCGGATGGGGGAATGCGTCAGGATGCTTCGAGGAGGCAGCCCCTCCCAAGAGTTTTGGCTAATAACACCCTCTCCTTAAAAACAAACTATAAGGAAACCTGTACAAAGATATGCCGGACTGATTTCAAGGAAAATACATAATGCCTGCCTAATGGATTTTCAACAGGGAACATGGAATGTTCTCTATCTTTATTGACCAGGAGCATTGGAACAGCTCCTCAAACAACTAGACCACTACAAACTGGACATTACTGCTATCCAAGAAGTAAGATGGACAGGAAGTGGGATGTTATCTAAAAAGCATCATGTGATATATTAAAATTGTAACCCTCGGAATCACACATTTCGGACTGGATTCATAGTTGGCAAAAGTATCTTCCAACTAATAATCGATTTAAAACCCATCAATCATAAAATATGCTATTTGCGAGTAGGAGGAAAATTCTGAACCATCGCTAGAAGAAGAAAAGGATTCATTCTATCAGGAACTGGAAAGGTGTCTAGATGATTGCCCTAGGGCAGATATGAAGATTGTGATTGGTGACTACAAAGCACAAATCGGAGGAGAGTAATTTCAGCATGCAATTGGAATGCACACACGGGTGTCGGAGCTTGAAATTAGACTCAACAGGTCCGAGCAAATGCACCTTTCCAGGTTGGTTGAAATAAAGAAAGTCCCGGTGAGGTTGGCGGAGATCCATTTATTCCTTAAAATCCATTGACGTCATGGTAAAAATCCTTACCAACCATTTTCACAACACCATCCTTGACTGCCATGCTCCTCCCCTAACTAAAACCATCCGACATCTCCCTGCTCCTTGGCTCACACTCGAGAAGAAGAGATGCTGCAAGACAGTGGTTTAAACATACCCAACTCCCGGAAGACTATATCGTCTTCAAGCAACTTTGAAACAGCACTCAGTCTGCAATATACCGAGCCAAAACTCATTATTTCCATCATTCCTTATCCAACACCCTAAACTCCAAGGTCAAGTGGACTATCCTCAGAAAGCTGACCATTTGTAACACACCTCAAACCCAGTTCATTTCCTTTTCTGCTGATGATCTTAACACTCACCAAACTGTACCAAACTGGGTTCATGAGAGATAGATGGACTATGGATTTACATTAAGATTACATTATCTAAAGAAGACCAGAGAGTACAATATTACCACACATCTCTTTATTGATTTCCAGCAAGCCTATGAAAATGTTATTAGGGAGAAGGTCTAGGAAAATCTACTGGAATTGGGAACACCCTTAAAATTAGTGTGCTTAATAAAAATGACCATGATAAGGATGCAATGTACTGTTATGGTGGGCAGAGACTTCTCTAGTGATTTTGAAACTTATAAAGGGTGACAGTCTTGCCTCTCTTTTGTTTAATGTGGCGTTGGAATGTGCAGCTCAGGTGTACAGATGGGAGAAACGATATTTAACAGATCGGCCCAGATTCTTGGTTTCGCAGACGATTTGGATTTAATGGGGAGAAGTATTATGTCCATAAAAGAAGCGTTTCTCGCACTCAAAGAAGCAGCACAAAGAGTAGGCCTGACTGTTAATGAAGCAAAAACGAAATATATGAGAGCGGGTCCTCAAGGAATGGATCAGGAGGAAGCCCAGATAGAAATAGGAGACTGCACATTTGAGCAGATGAATGAATTTATTTATTTAGGACCCCAGATCAACGCAGATAACAACATACAGCCAGAAATAAAAAGAAGGATGATGGCTGAAAATAAGTGATATTGCGGGCTCCTAAAACATCTCAAAAGTAAAATCTTTTCACAAAGCACAAAAGTGCAGCTATACAAAACGCTCATAAGACCTATCCTGAGCTATGCTTCTGAACACTGGACAATCTCACGAGCTCAAGAACTTCTAAGAATCGAGAGGCGGGACCTAAGGAGAATTTTTGAGCTGATCTTCATCAATAATGTCTGGTGACAGAGAACAAATCCTGAAATAGCTAGCCTGTACAAGAATATAAATGTCGTAAGATTTATTAAGATTGGAAGATTTCGCTGGGCGGGGCATGTCGCTAGAATAGAAGATGATAAGATCCCGAATAAAGTACTCGAAGAAAAGATTTATTCCAAGAGAAGAATCGGCAGGCCAAGATTGTGGTGGACCGACGGAGTGGCAGAGGATGCGTTGTCCATCTTAGGGGTGCAGAACTAGAAAGCAGCAGCAATACAAGGGATGAATGACTGGCAGTTGATGCTGTAGGAGGCCCTGACTCACCACGAGTGGTAGTATCGAAGAAGAAGAAGAATGATCAACAGTCGGTGATGATCAAAAGTAAATACAATTTAAAGAAATAAAAGACAAGATAAAAACGTAATAACTACTCAGCAACGATCTCCAATGCTCATTACAAACCTTCCAGTTCAACAGTTAAAGGTTGAAATCAAATAAGCTTTGAGTAAAAAAATAAAAGCAAAGAAATCTTCAGATAATTATTAACAGCATGAAATCCTCAACAAAGAACTATGGTCTAGATTTCTTGTGAAATATTATGAAGTAAATTGATAATATATGGATTTTTAAAAGATAATGATAAATGTGTTTTCTAATGTGCTTAAGGTAATGGAAGGGGAAACAAGCTATTAATTATTTCATTCCAAAATGATTGGTATATTTCTATGGCATAAAAACTGTCCAAAACTAATCGAAAACTTACCTTTAGTATTTTAAACATCAAATAATAATTTTTATATCAAATGATAATTGTTTTAAAACTCAAAATAATAATTGAAAATACAGGAATAGCATAAAGAAACAGACCCAGTAATACTAAGTTAGAAAAAATTATTAAATAACTAACTATTGAAAAGTTACAGAATGTATAGTAATTAAATTTTGGTAGGTAATTTATTTAAAACATTGATTCAAGTAAATTAATTTTTCATAGAATAAGCTTTGCATCAGGGAACATTTTACAATTAATAATAAAGTATTATTTCTCTAATGTTTAAATATAAATACATCAAATAACAAATTCTAAATAAGAAATGTTGAAAAGTTTTGAACAGTTAAATGTGAAATATTTGTTTATTCTATAAAAATAAATAAGAAAAACAAAATGTTTAATGTGAAATCTATAGGAAAATAATAAAACAAATATAATTTAAAAACTATCTTCAAATCAAAGTATAATAATCTAAAAAAAAAAGATAAAAAAATAGGAGCAAATAAGAAGATATTTTTACATTATTGTCTGCTCGTAGTTCATACTGAGAGCCATGTTCCTCATAAGCCAGCGACTGTTTGCGAAACAGTGACATACATCATCTATTAGTTAACACGACGAGGCATTTTCAATTTATTATTTTTTTCACTATTTAAAGCACCAACATTATAAATAAAACTCCAAAATTATGTAGCTAATATTTCTGTTATTGTTCTGATTATTCGCAACTTGAGCAAATCATGACAAGGTAATATGATTTTCGTCACAATATACCGTATTCTCATATTATTATGAATTTGGATAATTAAGAAAAACCTAAAACAGCAGCCTCAGGTTCAAGAAATGACAACCAAGGTTTCAAATCAGTTTTCAGCCGAAAAAAAAAAACATGATTTATAGTTTAATTTCGAGCAGTAAATATTTTTTACGCTTTCATAACTTTAATTTAAATAAACTTTTGACAATAGTTCATTTATATTTAAGAAGTTCTTGTTATAATAGACAAGCATGAAATTATACCACATAGATAATTTCATATTTTATTTATTTAACACAATTTATTAAGATAAGTAAAAAATATGTATGTATGCATTGATATTAACTTATTAAAATTTAAATAAATGAATTGACAAAATGAATTTATAAATTAGTTTTATCAGAACAACTCAGTATTATTTTGTTGTTTTATTTTCATGTTTATAAATAAATGTACTGAACAATTCTTGTTCACTGACTGAATCATGCTTTACATAAAATCCTTAATACAGTGTGTATTAGTAAATAAACATTAAACAAATACATATCAATTAATGATACAGGTGAAGTTTATTTATGATACAGTATCTAATTTTCATGCATATATTCACAAGTTTTTTTTCTATAAAATGCTGAACACACAAAGAAAAACATTAGACCTGGTTTGAAGCCCAGGTCTAAACCATTGGTTTAACTCATGTAATTAGTTAATTAGAGTTAGTTCATTATTTAATATAAAATTAAAATACAAATATAACTGAATTATTTGAGTACTGTAATACAGATAATGATATATTTTCCATGGTACTGCAAAACAAAATCCTGGTATACGGGAAAAATAACATTTGAATAATATTATGAAGGACTTCTTCAATTAAGCAAACTTTTTTAATAATGCACCTCATATATCGTCTTTTAGGTTCAAACACCACTAAACTCAATTTCTGGCAAGAGTGAGTAAGTTACCATACTGCATTCGTTTCTTCACGCCTGGTGAATGTGACCATGATTATAACCAATATGTTTCCAAGACGTTTAGAGGTTGAATTATGCTACCAATAATAAGAAAAAGACTTGAACGCCATTAATATCAAGTATTAATGTATACAACTAATATAATAATAATAAAAAAAACTTGTACCACTACAACCCATGATGGGTCTTGGGTACCTATTGTACCGATTGGGTACTTTGTTGGGTAAGAAAAGTACTGCTTCAAGGCCAGTGGTTGTGCAGGGAGGGGATCGGGCCAAGATCACGCTCAACAATCAGGTTTCTTCCTTAATCAATTATTTAATTAAAGATACCACTTTTTATAGGCTGGGTGTGCCCCAAGAGGGTCTCTCTACCCCAGGGTCGCCCCACGGCCAATGAAATAGAATAAATAATTTTATTCACCACGGGCCGGAATTTGAACTTGGGACCTTAAGCATTGGAAGCATAGGGCCCTACAACTGAGCTACTGCGCTCCCTCATATAATAATAATAAAAAATGAAAATAAACTATTTTTTTTCTTAAATTAAGACTGAATTTAAAACAAATGAATTAGTTAGGTTAATTTTGAATTAAAGTATCTAAGAATGAATAGGAAATGATGAACTGATTAAATATGAAGTTAGAGATTACCTGAAGGCTGGTGTACGATGCTGTGTTGCGACGGACGCTGAACCTGAACCTGTTGTCATTGTCTGAGACATGCCTATGCCTCAGCAAAAGAGCCCTCATTACAGTAGGCTTGTCTCCTTCAGTGATCAATTCGTCCGTAGCCATGGTCTCGACTACCCTGTAAACTACTCCTGGCAGTTCTCTTTCCTCCAAATCGAGTAATATAACACCTGAAATAGAAATGATAAGTTCTCTACAAAACTATTCCAAATTCCATAAGAATGTTATGCAGTGAGCGACTTCTATTTTAAGAGTCTATTTCACATTGTAAACAATTAATGAATTTATGAAGTATAAAAAAGTTTACTTTGTAATAAATAAAAAGGTTATTTATAGATTTCAGGACACTTGCGAGGAATAAAATTGCAGACCGATTGGCTGATGAAGGAACATTGCTCTCCCAAATTAGCAGCATCCCTAAGTTGGAGGAGTGCAAAACCATTAACAAAGCAGCAATAAGCCAGAGGTGGAAAGCAAGTCACCCAGATCACAATCCCCATGATGATTATTTTAATCTAACAAGAAGCGAACAGATGGTTCCTCAGGGCTGAAAACAACCGCCTAAAATCGTATCTCTTCAGGAAATTCAAAATAGGACCCAGTTTCCTATATGAATGTGGCCGAAACAAACAGGACACTACAGAGCATATTCTGCAAAGCTACCAGGTGGTGGAGGAGAGACAAAGCCAGATGGTCTCAACCAACAGACTTTGGGACCAAGCAATTTAGAAGTCTGGAGGACCTAAGGAGGATCACTAATTTTACTTTTTTACTTCCTGACATAGCCATCTAGAAGGAAGAGATCTATGACATATACAACAACCTAAGAGCTTCCCATTTCGTGCGAATTCAGTGCTTTAAGTGGCTGGGATATCTAATCTAGATGAATGATTGTAGAGTAGTCAGGAAATCATACTGTAGAACCCTAGATGGAGTCAGATCGAAGATGAGATGGAAAGACTCAGTAGTTGAGGACTACAGAATAGTTGGAGTGCCCGGTAGACTTGTCCTGGACTGTAATGATTAAGAAAAGAGAGTTTCAGGGGCCTGTCAAGCCAATAATTAATTAATAAATTTTTGATATATATGACAGTGACCACTGATCTTGAATTGAATGAAATATATTAACTAACATTATATATATATATAATTATTATTAAAACTGTGATGTACCTGTTTCTAGGCACCTACGCAGATTGAGGAGGGAATGGAAAGAGAGAGGTGCAACATGAGGACGACCCCAACGTTCAGCCCCTTCTTCCACGTCTTCTTCATATTTTATCCACCTAGCTGTTTCCTTCCACTCTCTTTCAATTCCATTAGTAAATAATTCGTCCAACTGGACAAATACCTGGAACATTAAAGCAATAATATAAAATAAACCGCAATACAAGAAAGTATTAGACTTTTTAACAATTTATCAACCAGAATCCATTTTGGGGTATAATTTCTTTATTAGAATTGACTGAATAGTTAAAACTCTGTGCAGATCACACAACTTTTACTTACCACCCTACTTAAAAAATGCTATAAAAAAGATGGTTAATACATGAAAATAAGGAAGCTAATGTTAACAATTAATAAAATAAACACATGTTTTCCATTTAAAATATATAAATTTACTAAAATTACTATAGTTTAGCCATCCTTATTTTAATGCAGAATGAGAGAAACAGAACTTGGTGGATAATTTAGCAATAAAAAGTCAGAGAGGCAGTAACCTATATAGAGACATTTCTAAAACAAAACATGTACTGGATAATGAATTAAGGAAATCCTTTTTCTCATTTTGCAAGATTAAAATGGGTGATATAAATTAAGATAATACAAAGTAATCACCTCATGAGGACTGTGGTCGAACATTTTTTTCTGTCCAACCAAAGGTGCTGAGTCTTTCCTTGAAGAATCTTTCGGCTTTACACTGTACCTTCTCTTGCCTTTTGATATATCAAAACGGTGACCTTTAAAAAATATGTATATATATTAAATGTGGGACTACATAAAATAATTTTAAGATTCGTCAATGTATTTATTATCTTAAATATATAAAACAAAATAATGTAATTAAAAAAACAAAAACAATTTGGATATAACCATGTCCATTTCTTGCATAACTACTTAGACACACTGGTAGATTGTTAGAGAAATTGATGTCTATGAATATTTAAACTTGTAGTTGTTGACTTATAGTTTTCTCTTCTACTCCCAAACAAAACTTAAAGAATCTTTCAAATGCTGACATAAATTGAAGTATGGGACAAATTCTACTTTTGAGGGAGGAACCATAATGAGCAGCGGAAGGCTTCCGACTGCTATTTCAATTCTAATTAATAGTAGATCCTAATTTACCTGATAACCTATGAAGGTATTTAAGTAGATATCAAAATACATTCCTTTAGTATGGATAGAGTTATTTACGAAGCAGTTGCTGTTTTTCTAATTAAATAATTTTTTTATTTTAATGTTAGTTTTTCTCAATAAATCGGATGATTAGTGAGATTTTTATAGTGAATTAAAAAACCTAATCGTGATTTTAATTCAGAAGGAACTAATAGTCAATGATACAGACCTCTTTTTATCCGTTATTAACATCCAGCTGAAACTTCGTAAATAACTTCATCTCATCGTGATCTACAAACATTTTATTTACAAAAATTCTTGGAATTGGGGCATTTTCAATCTGGAGGTTGACAAACTTTGTCTATTTAATTAGGCACTAAAAACTCGTAAATGCACATTTACTTACCACTTGGATTGTAAAATAATTTGATCACAAAATCGATAAAAAAGGTGGCATACAAAAATATTGAGCCATTTGTCTTATTTAACCTCATTATTTTGACAATTTGGGATGTAGGTCACGCCAAACAGCTAAATATTTTTGAAGGCCACCTTTTTCCCCATGATTCAAGTGAAAAGCAAATAGGTATTTATGAGTTTTTAGTAACTAATTAAATAAAATAAGTTTGCCGACCTCCAGATTGCAAACGCCCCTATTACAAGAATTTTCGTAAATAAAATATTTATAGGTTATGATGAGGTGAAGATATTTACGAAGTTTCAGTCGGATGTTAATAATTCGATAAATCTGTACCACGGACTAGAATCATATGTACCACTTAGATAATTATTCCAATTAAGGAAGTCTCTAGCAATCTTATAAGAAAAAAAAATACATACTTTATAAATATCTTTTTCTCTCTCCCAGACTTAAGAAAAAAAAAATAATAAAGGCAACTTACTAACAAGTTGATCTTGATCTAATTCATGTAAACTAGCTGTTTCTTCGAGAACTGCCTCACTCATCCTGCGAGGAAGTGCCTCAGCACCTGACCTCTTCCTCCATCCTGGATCTTCCAGCAGACTGGTTTTTCGATAATGGTGATGGTGATGGCGCCTTTTATTGAAAAAAATAAATTAAATATACATACAGTTACATGTTGCCAAAATTTTAACAAATCTAAAACATAAGAGATCTTCAAAACTTTTTTTTTTTACATAAAGAACTTTCTGTAATTTGGGTAGGTAGGAAGCACAATACATTCTAGTGTTCTGAAAAGGAGATTAAAAAAAAAAATGTATTTTTGTATGACACAATTTCATTCAGAAAAAAATTTACAGGGGTATTATTTTAAAAGAGAGAGAGAGAGAGAGAGAGAGAGAGAAGTGTTCCCTATTAGTTCTTTAAAGGAAAATTAGAAATTACGAAATACCTTCTTTTCTTTTTGTCTTCTCTATCCTCTTCTCTTCTAGTTCTCCTCTCCTCTTGCTCTTCAGCAGCAGTCTGTTCCGGGCTTTTGCCATCCTCAGTGTCAGGAGAACCTATTCAATCAGGTTTTATCACTGAACATTAAAACTGTACCATAAAAAAATTGGCACATTTTCCTCAAGGCCATAAATAAATGAATTGTCGTTTTACTTTTCGATGAATAAAGAGTGCAATATTTCCTCATTCGACAGTATTTTCAATTACAAAAATTAGGTTGTTTTAATTTTTATATATATTGCTCCAGGCAGGTACAGCGTTGACAAATTTAAGTTTGAGAAAAAAAACAATAAATGTTATAATTTATATTAATATTTTGTAGATATTTTCCAAGTATGGGTCTAGCAATGAAAAAACAATTCTGTACGTTGTTAAATATTCAAATTTTTAACAAAAAAATAAAATTAAAATTTGCTGTTCATTAATGCTCAGTAGGATCTAGATAAAGAATCCTATGACAATGTTTGGCATAATGATATTTGTAGTAGAGTTAAACTGTGGAAATTTATGATGAAAATGGTTTGACCATGTCGTATAGAAAGAGATTGAAGTTTTGAAAAACATGTTCTTAAAATAAGAAAATGACTCTAATAAATTTTTTTCCAAGTCAGACATTATGGCACACATAACTTTACATAATAATAATAAAACTAATCACTGGTACTACTTGTGAAGAGAACTAGTCTGGCAAGTGTTCCTCTTTGTAAACGGTGATGACTACCAAGAGGTTGTATTAAATAGTATATGTAATAAAATGTATTAAATAGAATAATAACTAGCTTAGAACCATGATATTATTTTATATATATTTTTCAAAACCCAGTATCTTAGCGACATTGTGAAACCATTTTCATCTTCAACTTAAATATATATTAATTATCTTTTGTTATTCTGAATATTGCAGTGAGATGTGGTAAGACTGTGAAAGCAATTTTGTAGTTTTCGGTCTGTATGACACCTGAATTGACGAAACATTGGCTAATTATTAAATGATATTCAAGAGAATCAAGGCTTCTATTTGGAATCATTCAATATTAATCTATAGGTATACAAACTATTCTATTATCTATTTGTTTATTACATTATATTTTAATCTAACATAACATGCTCAGGAAAGTTCATAGATTGTAATGCAACTTAAAAGTGCTTATTGGTATATTATGTGCACGAAAAATATTTATGAAACACAATGCAATGGACTATTAAAAGTGCAGGCAAGATATATAAAACTTTATTATGTAAATAATGTTAAAGCAATATCTCCTAAAGCTAGTGTAAAATCAATTAACTATTGGATAAATAAGGAGATAATAATAAGGGTGGGAAATAGAGGAGAAAAAAGAGATTATCTGGCAAATCGTTGCATAATTATATTATTCTACAATTTATTTTAGGTAGAGCACATAGCCGAAAGTCAATTTTTTTTTTTTTTTTTTTTGCAAAATGGTGTGCATGTTGTTTCATAAAAGTTTTAATATAAAGCTGTTAAATTTCTTTTGTCATTTTATTTTCTGATTTCGGATGATATTCAGTTGATAGCATGCACTTGGCTTGAACTCATAATTTGTATGAAATTGGCATGTATAATCAAAAACTTAAGGCAGGTTCAATGAGGCATATATAAATCAGATATTTTATATAAAATATAGAATGCCTTGATAATTTGTATAATCTTCAACTCTTAAAGATGCAAGTTATCAGACTGCACTATATTTATTTAAAAAAAAATATATATATATATATTTTTATGTAAGTTCATTGCAAAAAATCATTAAGTACATGATGGAACTAAAATTTTAAGAACGTTAATGTGAGTTTCAATATTATTTATAAATACAAAAATACAGTAAGTTCATCAAAATTATAAAAACCCTTTTATATATGATCTATTTACATTGAATGCATGCTCTTTTGATTTCACAGAGGTAAAATTCACTAAAGTACTTAGTAATTAAATATTATGAAATGTTATTTGATGACTTTTTGCAATAAGCTAACAGTATATAATAACAAAAACATATTTTAAATAACCCATGCACTATTTTTGCCTTTGGTCTAATTAAAAAAAAAAAATTTGATTTTGAAAGTTTGAAAGAAAAATAATATTTTGTGAACATTGCGCTTATAATTTGCATTACACAATAACAGCAATTATACTCACTGATTCATATATGTAATGATGATTATCAGACAAAGAAATATTAAAAAATAACAACAAACATGTTTGCATAGAGCAAAATAAACATAATTGAAAAATACAAAAAAAAAAGATACAAAAGCTTTGTATCATGCTAACCTTTTGCCGCCTGTTTACCTATGTCAAATTGTACCCTTCGATCTGGGGAAAGAATGGACCCATCAAAAGCAGAAGCTCTTTCTGAAATAATGGGTTCTGTACTTTCACTCAGAGGTAGTTCTTCAGCTGTCGAACCATCATCGGGACTGGAGATTACCAAACTATTAAAAAAAAATTATTAACAATATCAGATAGGTAACATATTCAGAAACATTGAAAACAGTGTTATGATACAGTATAATATATCATAAATAATATAATAATATAAAAACGTGGTTTCAATATGTTTGATTAAAAATCAACATTTATAAAATCTCAATGGTTCAAAAGTCAGGATGTAGGGTGCCATATCAACTAAAGCCAAGATACATTGAAAGATTTTTCACTGGCGAACAACTGCTCCAAAAGCAAAAATGGAAGGATTTTTTAGATACCAAATCATAACTGGTGAAAAGAGGCTGGTACCATTATGACAGTCCAAAGTATAACATAGGCTAGGCCATTTAGGCCACAATCAAATGGAAATTCTACCCCTACTACCGAATTATCTGAAAATTGCTTTTTTAAACTACTAATCAATTGGATCAATGGATCTATATCTTATCTAAACAGCAGTTAATTTCTTATAAAGAATTTTAAAAATAGGTCGATGCTCTAATTGCCTTGAAGAACAGTTATATTTTCAACGCAGAATTTGTACGTTACCAGAAAGATAGGAAAATATAGTGGCTAGTGATAGACAATACACTGAATAATCAATTGTTTACTATTAGTCAACATTACACCACAGATTGTCTCATAATATCCTTTAAAACTGATTTATAGATGATCTGGACTGTCTGAGAAATGCTAATTTTTATTTACAGTACATAAGGAAAGTTGTATGATCTGCAACAGTCTACCAGCAATAGTCATGGCAATTTTGAAATTTCTCCATGGTTGCAAAGGCGGATTATGGAAACTGATGCTGTGGATCAGGTAAATACAATATTGTTTTAGAATCATATTGCGAATTATGGTGCTCAACTCTTTAAAAAGTGATAAAAAAAGCCTCTATGATGTTCCCAAATAAAGAATATTAAAATGTCTACTCAGTATAAACCTTTGTAGATATTAAATTATGTTATGAGTAAATTATGTCTTTGGTGATGATATTTTTCATCTAAGTCTTTCTATCCCACAGGTCTCTGCCCCTGGTTAGTCTTCTCATATCTGGGATGGCGCATCCCCTTGCTTCCGGGTATCGTACATTCTACAAACCTTTATACTACGGTATGGGGCCTTGACCCATTGTATGTAATGGGTCAAGAGGCTGATAGAGACAGCACCTTCTACAGAGTTGACCTGTAGGTTGTTCTTCTTTTGGCACCTTAGGAAAGGAAGATCATAGTGGATCTAGATTGGGAGGTTTATAAACATACTGGGTGTGAAGCAGCAGTAACATCAGTAGCGGGATGGAACTGTAGACGGTAGGAATCAGAAAGGTTCCAGGCTAGATATCACGGAGATGAGAATTTTACCTTGTAATGAAAACAATCTATCTAGGAATCTTAGATCCTGAAACAAGTAGAAAACCTGCTGCTTCTGGTCAAGTAGTCTCTATCACAGGGCTAATGACCTGTTTTCAACTTGTACAGCCTAGGATACAGACAATTTAACAGTTACAGACAAGGACCTATGATTCACAGCCTAGAATAAGTCCATAGAGAAAGTATTAGAGAAATAGGTATTAGCTATATGGAAAAAATATATTGCATTTGTTAAAACTAATGAGATAATAATATAAATAGAAACAATACCTTCCACCAGCGATTGGGACACTGACACTGGGTCCTGTATCAGAGTCGGTACCACCCTGAGAGTTTTTCCTTAACATGGTAGTAGCCTAAATCATGAAAAAGATAATATAATTAATTGCTGACATTAAATTCAGATTAAAATTAACTTTACATATATTAATTATTAAAATAAATTCAATTTCATGGCAATGAGTAATTATCCCAAAACTATTAGTAACTTCTTGATAGAAGAAAATATAACTAACACGAATAAGGTATGGAGTTAGAAATAATTTTTTTTTTTTATTTCATTAAACGATTGAAAAGTTATGATACAATAAGCTGAACAGACATTTCTCTCAACAGCTTTCCATATATAGGTCAGGTGAAATAATCGTTACATATTTTAATTTGTTAAAAATGAAACTTATTGGAGTGTGGTAGCCCAGTGGATATGGCAGTGACTTCCAAAGCTCAAGGTCCTGGGTTCTAATTTGGCTGGGAATATTTTAGGTAATTATTTATTCCATTACATCAGCCAGTGGTTAGATCCTCCTGAGCCTCTTTAGAGAGGGCACCCTAAATTAATTAATTAAAGGCATAACCTGACGGTTGAGAAAAATATTGGTCAAATCACCTCCTTGCACAATCGTTAACCAAAAAACAGTACTTCCTTATATAATACTGAACCCAAGATCCTTCATGGCTTATAATGGTACAGTTTTTTTTTTGTTTTTTTTTATGTAATAGTTTTCCTCCAATATCACGCAAAATTTTAACTATTTGACACAGTAGTATTAATTTTTTTTTAAATTAACAATACATACCTCAATTTCACCTTCTGTAGGAGGCCTACAAGAGATAGCTCGTTTTCTCTTTGGATGAATAGCTTTTAAGGGTGCATGCATATGAGGGTAGGCTTTTTCACGATGAACTGAAAATAAATTATTGGAACATTAATCATTGAGTGTAAACAAAAATTCAATAATTGAGATGAATTTGTTATAAATTATAAATTTTATGTTGTCATGCTATAGAATATTATATTGAATTAATGTCTCCATCTTCCTCTGGTAGATAATTCAAAGATAACACATAGGCACAAGGCACAAGACATTTCAAGATTTCTTAAATAGAAACCAGAAACAAGATTTTGCATCAATATTGATAAATATAAAAAAATCAAATAATGTAACATGACAACTAATGATAAAATTGAATCATAAATCAATCTCCTACTTTTGTCAAGGTACTTTTGACAGTAACATAAGAAGATTAATCATTGTTCATCATTATTGAAATGATTATCCTAAAATTGCAAAAGATGGGTCAAAGCAATTATTTAAAATATAATGATATTATGAATTTAAATTCAATAGACACTTTTAAAACTAGATCTACATTGCAATAAGTAATCAAATTATATGAAAAATTCTTTACTATAGACAAATATTAATTTTATTTTAAAATTTATAAAATTTTTGATAACATAATTTATTGAAATGAGATCAGCATGATTGAAAGATATTAAATATGCCATATTTAATAATGTTTAGATGTAAGTTTACAAAAGAAATGAATTGATACAAACTGAGGGAAGCAGAAAATATAAAAAATAAATAAATAAACCAGTGAACACTTACAGCTGTAGTCATTTTCAGAAAATCTTCTAGAATGTGGGGAGAGATCCTCATGAGTAACGGTGGCCAAGTCAAATTTCCCTTCCAAGGATGTCTCCGAGAAGACTTTTTCCATCTCCTCATCCAGGGTCGCTTCTTCTTCCCCTCCATCACGCTCCACCTAGAAAACAAACATTTCTTTAATTTTTGTGGATTTCAACAAACTTTGGAAACAAAAAATTTTACTTGTTTTAATTGCAAAACACTATTATCCCACGTAACCATGCATGACTAAAAATCATTGCTCAAGTTCTGATACTTTGTATGTCCAAAAGATTAAAACTACATTCTCAATATGATGAAATAAAAAAAAAAAAGTATCAACACATCATTCTAGAGATTTATTGTAAGACAGATAAAATCATAAAGTTATTCTACAAAACAACGGTTGAGTACTGTCCCTGGAATGATGCATTGATGTAAATATAATTAGTCATATCTCTAAATGGTATAAAAATTGGTTCTGATTTTTTTTTTTTTTTACTTGAAATGTATCAAAACTTAACCTATATACTAATAATTTAATAAGAAGTGTCAAAAATGCTTAACAGTAGCTTAAACCATGCAAACTAGTATAATACTAATAATTTTAAGAAACAATAAATATGGTTGTTTTATTTAAATTTATTTACTTTTGCAAAATCATTCTTACTTTTTATCATGAACTGAATAAAATCCTACATTTCTCATTCCTGTCGCACATCAAACATGAAAAATGTACAACTCGAAATGTTAAACATATTAATGGTTGGGACTAACACCAAAAAGTGACCTTAAAAAATAAGACCAAATCAAGGCATTCAAATGGTAATCTACCAATAAATTCAGTAAGGGAACACCACAGAGACTTATAAATAAAATAGCTCTAGTGTCGAATACTCGTTCCAACAAAATAAATTTTTTGAGTTTTGTTTATTCAATTTTGAATATCCAATATGGAAATGAATAAGTATATTGCAAGTTAAACTTAAAATGATGTGAGAAAGGCAATAAAAATAAAGTAATGACATGAGATGAATATATTCGACAATTTTGTTTAAATAATACTTAGTCAAATAATAAATTAAAAAAAAGATAATAATAATTATGGTTCTTTTTGGCAAGATATGTTTGTGTGTGTGATGCAAACTATCCTTACTGAAATATTGAAACAATTGAAAAAGGATGAAACATAAGTTAGGAAATATAGGAAATTACTACCATTAATTCATAAATGACTGAACTGTATAATATTTTGAATATGAAAAGCAACTTCATATCAATTAGTGGCATATATATTATGAATATTTTCAGTTTGATTAAAAATTATAACTCAATTTATGGGGGTAGTTTACTTTGTGATTTACTGTCATTTTTACAGTTAACTTATTACTGTAAATTACAGGTCAAAACCTCTTTCAAAATTTCGGTTCACAAGGGAATTTCAATGTCATATGAAATGTTCATAATAAAAAATATTATTACATTCATCGTAAGTTCCACTAAATAATCGGCTCCAAGAGCATCTAAAACTAACATGTGCAATGTTAACTTTAAAAGATATACAAGTACAAAAATTAAAAAAACAAAACAAACAGTGTATAACCTTCAAATATTTATAAACAAAACATCGTAAAAAAATAAACAACCTATATACTACACAAAGAGAAAACAATTAATGAGTTGTTATTTCAAAGAAAAAATTATAGAAACTACGAAAAAAGATAAATATATTTAGAAATACGTACATATTTTTTCACTGAATGGATAATATTTTGATCTTCAATGAACATCTTAAACTTAATAATTATGTCCACTACTTAATACCATTTCTAAGATACGAGAAGTGAATTTAAAATTTCTTTTAATTTCAAGATGTTTGAATAGAGATTACTTGAAAAGGCAAAGAATTTAGATGAAACATTACTCAATTCATTTTTGAGGGAGTTCAAAAAGAGATCTCCACAAACCCCGAATGGCCTAGGTATGCCACTATCCTCTGGTGTCTACTGGGATCATCAGCACAAGGTAACAGCTATTAATCACCCTCAGACTAGGCACATATTGGAATACGTGCCATTGGACGACAAATACTGCCTGATTTTCGTAACATACGCCAATCAGTGAGTTAGTGCATATTAACAGCGCGATTTGCGTGACATGCACTAGCGGATCCAGGATTTAATTTTGTGGGAGGCTTCAGCCCGAAACTTTTTTTTTTATAAAAATAACGATAATTACTTTGAAAAAACAGAAAGAAACTAACTACCTATATGAAATGGTGTTTAAGTTATTCTTTAAGTGCTTTTAAATGTAATCACACGAACAATAATACTTTAAGAAGTATTAATTAAATTTTTTTCCCATAAAACATGGATATATTTTTCCATTTTGGGGGGGCTTCAGCCCGAAAGCTCCCCCCGTAGATCCGCCCGTGGTGACATGTCAGATGTGAAGTGAAGAAGCAGTAACGGTTTTCCGTGTGACGCGCAGATATGCTACTCTTAGTACTGAGTACCAAGTATTTTACTCAAATACTGACTTTTTTTTTAGTAAAGAAGAATTTAATTACTACTTCAGTTGCTGTCGAACGATTACCTGAAGTAGTAAAATTAATAGATTAAGTGAAGTAGTAGCATTTGCCCATCTCTGATGACGGGTCACAAATCCACTCAGTTCATGTGTCAGACAGTTTGGTGCCTGGATGTGCATTCGTATCTATTCCATTATAAAATTATCACAAATATTCCTTTATATCAATAGTACCATAGCAATCAAAAATGGTGTCTAGGAAACGCGTTAAAGTTGGGCTCCTTCGTAAATTATCTTAATATAAAACACTGATATACTGAATGAAATATATACTTTTATAATAAAGAAAATTATATAACCGGTGATTTTTCTTGAGATAAAAGTGTTATGGGTGATTCTCATTTTAGGGACAAGTTTTAGTCCATTACAACTTTTACGTGATTAGTTAACTTGATTTTTTCCTCCACTGCTATATGGTGAAGCAATGAGTATGTTTATGTATTTTCAAACTTTGTCCCACCACTTAGATGTCATTACCAACAAAAAACGTAACATCAGATATTTAAGTGTTGAAAAGAGGGAACAGTGGAAATTTCTTCAGAGTGTACTTGTAACCATTGAGTTTAAGGACAACCACCAGCGGATAGACCGATAAGTTGGGGAGCCTCTTTCTACGCAGCCGCTTCTTATACGTTGAGGGCATAGCTTTATTGTTGTCATTACCACCGCGTATATTATCTCGCTTTCTGTTCAAATTATTAAATTTATTATAATTCACGTTTGACTATGATTCGTAGCAAGTGAGTTGGAAAAAACAAAAATTATAATACTAGTTACACAGCGGTTCTGGTCGAATAAAATAAGTGAAAATGTCATTACCAAGTTGAAAACTCGTGTCATTCCCACAATCGAATTATTAGCTTTACTTACTGAGCAAAAACCACTTTTGATCTTGGCCATTTGTCAGATAAAGCTGAGCAGCAATAGAAGGTAATTAGAAAATTGTATTTAAATTCCAAGCACTAAATAATTATTAAAAGTTTATCATGAAAATTGCTCATAATCTGAGAACCACCCTTATATTTTTACTTGAATCGTTCTTACGTTTGGCAACTGCATGCTTACATAAGTTCATGCGTTATAATTTAAAAAGAAGCTACTCTTCAGCAGCGTACACCGTAGCTTAGATCTAATAAACATACATAGTTATAATCGTGAATCATTCATTTTGAAGTTCAAACTTATTAAATAGAATATACGCGTCATTAGGCGAGAATCAAAAAACAACTGCGTTACAATGTGTGTTCTCCAATGAGACGCGTATGGCACGATCGTGACATGTCGCTCACACGCCTAGCCTCGGGACACCGATATGCTGTGTGTTTTCTCGTAACTTAGCGTTTGGTCACACTTTGTATTAATGCATGTAAAACGACGATACTTAAACAGCTTAAAGCAAGTGTGTCAGACTTAATGAAAATATGCCATGAGTTCTTTATCTTTAACTTTAACTCTTAAGGTCTTTAAGAAGAATTAGGTGAGTGAATACAACACATTTTTTTTTTAAATTTTTCTATATGGCTATTTAATATTTGAAAATTGTTCAATGGGTTTGAAGTAAATTAAAAAATTAAATAAAAATAGAGTAAAAGCCGTGAGCTAAAGCCTCCTCCTTGCAGTGGCTACGTGCCAGCTACCTAGCTGCAAGGCAGAATTCTGAAAATTGAATCTTAAGACAGGCATTTCCAATTAGTGTTAATTAATACAGATCCTTTTTTCAATCTCTTTTAATTAATTTCTCCAAGATCATTTATCACAAGATGTACCATTCAGTAGACCATTCCACTAAGAATCAGACCATTTATAAGAACCATTGGTAATTAAGTCAATCATAACAGTTCGATGATTGGCATATGATTGAGTGAAATAAAGCAATGTGTAGTTCAGTAATGGATAGAATTATCTACTCCGGTTTTACATACTCGATAGATGATTCCAGTAATGTCTATGGTAAATATAGCTTACTTTTTTCTTTGCTTTTATGCCGTAATTGAGGGAGTTTTCTTACAAAAAATAAATACGTACATACAGGACTGAATTTACATCGCAAAATTGGCTAGTTCTTTTGCACAGGAGGGCATGGATTAGGACGCTGTATAACTAGTTTGGAGGGGAAGATAAAGGTCTGGAGAAAGGTCAAGGAAACCTGGTACAGTCTGGAACCGGTTGAGATTGCGAACGGTTGTGGGCTGGAGTTTTGTGGTGGTCCGTCCTCAATGATCGTGAGAGTCCTCACCTTCTGCCGTCTTGTAGCACCAGATAAGGGAGCTAATACCAGAGAGAATTATAATTCAGGTTGTTCTTTCTAAACCTTAGGAAGTGTAATTAAGGAATAAGAGCGCCACTCAAAGCACAAGCAGATCCAGGATTTAATTTTGGGGGGGAGCTTCAGCCAGAAAGCTTTTTTTTTTTCATAAAAATAACGATAATTAAATAGACAAAGTTTGCCGACCTCCAGATTGAAAACGACCCAATTCCGAGATTATTCGTAAATAAATTATTTCTAGATTACGATGAGATGAAGATATTTAAGAAATTTCAACCGTATGC